CCAATCTTCCTTTTCGACCACCGGCATCGGCTCTACCATGGGGTTCTACTTATGAACCATATCCATCGCCTCATTCTCCGCGAAATTTCTGTCCTCCTCCTCAACCTCTTCCACAAAATTTCAACAACTTCCGTCCATTGCCCGGATTCATCCCTACTTATATTCCCCCTTTTTTCACCAATTCTGTCTCAGTGAGCCCTGATCATGCTCAGACAACAAGCATTTCCAGAAAGCGATGTCTGCCAAACTGGAAAGAACGATGCTTGGCGGACCCTTGGTCGGAAATCCAGCCCAAACGCACGCCTGATGGAGGTGACAGGTTGATCACAAATGCTGCTAATCAGCGGCATACCGTGTTGTTTGCTCCACGTCAACAGAAAAGTAGTGTAATTTAGGCATACTGTAACTTTCTTTGTTCTTTAAAGCTGCACATTTTTATCAAGCAATTTTGTTTCCTTTGTTTGCCGCTTTTCTGTTAAAATGAGGAAAGTATGAGCTCATAAAAGTGATTTGGGCCTAGGCACATTTGGTTATATAGGGATATTATAAAGTTCTTTGGGCGGAATTTTTTGTGCCAAAATATAGTGGAATCAGATTTATTTATTTTGATCATTGAAGTGGTAGAATAATTCATGGCCAGACCTGAAGTGCGTTTTAATTATGTGCAGATGAAATGAGTAGGTACTCTTACGAAAGTGAAGATAATTCACCAATAGAGCTTCACAGGTTTCTCAAAGTGAACTTCATTTAACATGACGCATTTGTCCCAATCTTATCAGCAATGCAAGTAGTCTTATAACTTAGAAGTGCATAAGTTGTTGGAGTTTGAGAACGTCGAATTTAACCGCTCACGGGACCCATATCACTTCTTTACCTGTCCGATTTGCGTTCTATTGGGTTTTCACAGAGGGGTTGATGCGCCTTCCCCCATTGTGTGCAAGTATGATTTGGAAATCAATGGTATTTTTATAGGTTTGTCCTACGAAGGCAAATTCGATTATTGTGTTGTGCGGGGATCAACTATCCAAAGTTACTCATTACAGTGCATTTATTGTCAGACTCCCGTATATGCTCTTGAATTACCTTTGTGGTATCATAGAATTTCTGTCAGTTGAGATGGCGTTGCGTTGAAGCAGTTCGCTTCAATGATATTCGCCAACAGTAGAGCTGCCACTAAAATGCGCATTGATTGGAAGACGGTAAACGCCCTCTTGGTAAATACTCTCGAGAAAATGACGCATCAGTTCGCACAGATATTACCGATCTTATGATCATCCTAGAAGGGTTCTGTTAGCGTGCCACGGTTGACTATGGTCTTAAAACGATGTCATCACTCATTCCAAACAAAATTAACTCGACACCCAGAGATATCAACGAATCAGTAGTCAATCAAAGACAAAAGCGTAAGAGGTCGGAGCCGTGTTTTAATGTCAAAGTCACTTTAGGATGTTAAAACCTTTACCAGATGAACAAAGGGTTTAAGAATATTTGCTGCCTTCGCTCTGAAAGACTAAACCACCAGCGTTTCTGCATAACAATTGCTATAACATATCGAGTCGCTAAAATTGATAAGGGGCTAGAACGGCTCACGAGAGAACTGTGATAGACATTTCGGAAAGAAGACATATTGACCCCAAAGTGGGAACGTAAATATTTGTTCCACATTTTCCAGCCGCCCTGTTCCTTTTCGGCCTGCTAGACCAAACGTAATGGGCGTAGCCTCCGATTACAATTTAGAATTCTGTGGGCACTCTTTGAACAAGTTGCTGACGTCCACACTTGACCTGGCAGGTTCCCTTGTTGCGGTCTTCTTGAAGTTCCGATATGGAGGGTCCTTATCATCGCCACTATCCAGCCAATATCTCTTCACGTGTGGTTTTTATAATGAGTCAATTTAAATTGGAATTTTCCAATTTAGATTAATACTGGAAAAAAGGCGACAGACAGGAATAATACTGGGCCAAATGGCAGCAAATTCATTCAAACGGAATGAATTCTCTCAGTTCGTCTGGGTCATTATATGTGAAATTAGCCATCCGTGTATGCTCGGTAGTGGTGCTGAAAAAAATATTCAGGTAACCATAAAGGGTTAGAGGCTAGATAAACTATTTTTCCATCTATCATCCTGTTTGCCAAAAAATCAACACACGATGTGCGAAAGCTTTATGCGATACTACCATTGACCTACCCAGAGGTCTGTCTACCAAAGAAGATGTACGACATTGTTTGGTTAACTCTGTCGTTTGTTTGCATTACTTTAAGAAATTCTGGCACCAGGCTCAAGCTCAAAAAATTTGGATTGTATGGATAATTCATAGCTTCGAACTAAAGTGGCCATTGGCCATCGTATATTTTACATGCAAAGGTACCCACTAACTCATTTGAAATCTTTTGAGAGCGGGAACCTTGGTCAATAATTTGAAATAATTAAGGTTCTACATGAGGCAGTCTCATCTATTTCTGCAAATCGCTCGGCGCGTTGAGCGTAATGTGTACGCATGATCAGATGGCAAGCCTGAATCTCAAAAGTAAACTATTGGCAATTGGGCAGTCCTGTCTACCAAGGCAGTCAGAAATTACAGCTGAACATAAATCTTGAAAATATTTATTTCATTTTAAACCTCATTAAATATTCTACCATTACATATGACTTGTCAGTGATGCTCTTGTAAACTGCGGGCCGAGGTGGGATCTTGAGGAGTGGATGACAAGCACAAACAGAAATGTGTGGGTTCTTGGCCTTCACACAGTAAACCAACTGCGAGCGAGAGAGTAGGGTGTCTGAAGTCAATATAGCGTCGTCCTACCAATGAGTAAAGACGACAAAGGTGGGAACTGCTATTGAGTCAAAAAGGCCAATCAACTCATCTGGGTTATTCCAGGCTTTCGTTGTTGTCAGCTTTCCAACAAATAAACTTAAAACCCAAATGAAAATTTGAATAATCTCACTTTATTATTTGTACAACAGAAAGCATTTGACAATATTTTAAATAAAGCACTTATAGTCAATCCTAACGAATAACTCACACCTAATAGAATCTGTAGTTTCCTTAACCACCTGAACTACTACCTGTGAATTCATGCATACTTTAGTTGATAGAGAGGAGAACTATAAGATTTCTAAAAATTTAATGTCTGCTTCATAATCTGCATTAAAAATCTAAACCTTACGTATAACCTCCGTCTAACTTTGCGTAAGTTTTTTGACGTGGAATCTAAAACTATGAGATTCAAAGTTATAATAGAGAGAATCGGAAAATTCATATCTAAAAGGACATTACTTAAAAATGGACAATGCTTTTCCACAAAATTACATAAAGCAATATACATGGAAGTTGAACTCATTTTTTCGTCAGCTAAAGCTTATCACACTTACTGGCAATTAGACACAATGCTATTATCAACCCTGTAGAAGGGATCCATGCATCCACTCGGAGCTTAGCAAATTTTTGAAAGTTTTTGTGCATTCATGTACTGAAGCTTCATGATAACTTTTTTTGGAAATTGTCTTAACTTAATGTACAAATGATTCTTATATACTCAAATGCTTTTACTTATTTGAAAACTGGTACTAATAGTATTTATGTTAAGTTATTAATAATAAAACATTAATATTGAAACAAATTTTCGACAAGGATTGACTAAAACAAAATAGGTTGCTGATGTGGAGAAAATAGGTGCATTTGAGAAATTGAATTTTAGTGATTGAGATCAGATAATGCGTTTAAGGCAATCAGGCAAAAATGTCAATGGGTTTAGACTCTTATTTTTGCCTCTCGACAACCGATTATGGTAAATTTAGGTAGGACATTGAGGACTGCAATTTTCACTTCCTAAGATTATGTCAATTAATGAATAGACATGGTTACGTTTTCAATCTAGATTTGTGTTTGAACTATCATGGTCCTATTGTTTGCTTGTATAATTCACCTGCGTAAATTTCAGGATTAGCAGCATTTTTCAAATCTCTTCTTTTTTAATTGTTGTACATCAATTTTAGAAACATAATTATCGATTTGGCTTAACGAGTTATATTTAAGAACAACTAGTCGAAATTTACTTAAGACATGATAAAGCACGGGGAATACCCATCGTGATTTTACTTTAATTACTAATGATCTTAGATACATCGACGTGATTTTATGCGTCCAGTGGCCCAATACACCGTGCGAATTTAGTTACCTCGGCCATCTTTCATAGATCATTTCATTACTTCTGCATTGTTAGAGGCGTTAGTGTGGTTTTTAGGTGTTGTTCCTTTTGTCGCTTTTGTACCTTAGTAAGCAGAAAAGTATCAATTTGTTCGAAACCTGATGATAATGATTTCACATCGAAATTTAACGTTGGCGTTGGGGCTAGAATCCTAGTTCCGCCCATTTAGTGTGCCGCTGATCGTCGGGTTTCTTCTCTACTATTTGGTTAGTCATTATGTACCCACACGTAGTACTTTATTTAAATTCGTTGCATTTACCGTCGCATTTATATTTCACAGAAAAAATGCCGTATTTGTGTCATTAAGTAAATGCACCCTCTCGTCACTTTTCAGGGCTCTAACCAGCTTTCATATATCAATAAAAATGCGTACTATGATATTTACTTTTAATTTTATAGTCTGAAGACTGTACGCGTGTCCCGCGCATGATGCATTCTCATAGGCCTTTAATTCTTAGGATTGTCACCGATTTATTTTTTTGGAATCTGGTACATACCGCTTTAATTTTGGCAAAATTTGTGTCATGGCTCTGGCATTTGCGGTATAAACAATTCTAAAATCAAGTGGGTTAAGCTGACAGGAGAATTTAATGTGGAGGTCTCGGAAAACGGATCTTTTGTTGCGCCTGTCGATTGCGAGTCAAGATAGCCCCATTCTGCGTCCCTGTTAGTATATTATCGCATACATGTCCTGCCATTATTAACACTACCCCAATTGTCCTACTTAACCTTTCATTTCTCACTTAGGCCCTATTTTCGGCGTCTGTTGATCTTTTATATGGTTTACAATGGATGATGTTAAAGCAAATAATGCAGGATCGGAACACGCCGGCCATACTGGTAATTACAAGGATCAGGCTATCGCACACTTTATCCAACGTATGCGAGTTTTTTTAACGAAATGTTCTTTAGAAATCCCGAGTGAAACCCTCCATTTCTTGAACATAAATAAAATCTATGGGAAGTTTAGAGGAGGCGTAAGTTTTGTTGGTTGGTTTTTTTGTTTGAAAAGTTCGAACTTGAAAATCTTGTACTTTACTTTGTTGCCACATTTTTACCTCATTATAGAAACCCACCCTGTCTTGCCATGCTTGCAATCTCCAATTTAAGTCAACTCCCCAGGCTCTTCAGCATGCTCAGCAAACATCCCACAGAGATGTCCTAAGGGTGAGATTCTTACATACTTTCATGTTGTTTCTGCAACGAATCGCCTTTCAAATAGATCACACTGCTCCTAAATACGCGTAATTATTTCCCTAAGGCGGTGTTCACTTGCTCGAGTCAGTAAATCTTGGGTTTCATACATTTGCCGCTTACCAGGATATTGCGGGGTGGTCTGTCTATCCCCAGGTGGACTCAGCACAGAACAAAATAAACCTATTTTCTATGTGCTTTTTACACAGGACTTAAGGCTTTTTATTATACGTTTCCTCTAGGCTAGCCTTTTAAGTGACTTACTAAAGCATCTTCCTCCAATAACAGAAGCTCATCGCATTGCCCTTAACGAAGTTCTAGAAGAACGATCTTCTAAGCTTTTGCTTGACCAAAATGAACTTAACCGACGCCGTGAATTTGCCCACTCTGTCTGTGTAGCCTTAGAATTCCGCATTAAAGGTAAGTTTTTACCTTTAACCAGTCACTATATGCTTGTGCGGATGACTTGACTGCAAGCAGTTGCTTGAGTTTCTTTCTCCGTCCCAAGGCTCTAAATTTATATGTAAACTTCAACAACATAGTTATGGTATTTCTCTGTTTTCATGTCACGTTGGCCCACTCTCTGTTAGGAATATGTTGTGCCAGTTAATTTTAAATAATGAAAGGGTATTATCGGTATAAGGAGCAACAGGGTTTCGGAATAGGTTTGAGGATTTTTTGTTCAAGTCTATGTCTATACTAACTGGGGTCCTTTGATCACAATACCTATCATGAAACTCTTCAGGATTAAGAATGAGTGTGATTGGCAGCACAGTGTCGGGGCTTGCTTCTGTCGACAGCGACGTTAATCTGGATGCCTTCATGGACTCCGTAGACAGGACCTCGGACATGGGTCCGAAATCGGAAGTTCCCAGTTTTGTGGATCCTTATAAGAAGGGCTTCAATTCCGTTTTGCCCGAGATCTATGATCTACTCAAAGCCAACGTAATTCCTGACGATACACCGGAAGACCAATCAAAGCAAGGTGGTGATTCATCTGTGGTTATGCCGCAGAACCACGATCCCGACCTTCCTCCTTTCCCCGCCATTCATAGGTAGGTTTGCTTATCACCGAACATTATTTGACTGAATAGAGCATCACGGATACAAAAGCGTTTACTTGTCGTGGATGGGTGTGTAAAATTCATGAAATTCACCTATACGGTAGCGCCAGTTATTTTGGCTATAATATATGACATCAGGAAAGTGGAAGAAAACGACTAAGCGTAATCGGACATAATTAGTCGAAATTTGAATGCCAAACACGCGCGCCAGTTTTATTAACCACGTCTAAATTTACTGACTTCTGCATCAATGATTGAACTTGTTTTACTGTGAGATTCCAGGTTTGTAATATCTATTGAGAGGAAAGATCTTTTAAACTTAATTGATCAACTGATTAAATCAAGCTATACAAGTTCTTGTTTTTTCACTCTTCTGCACATCCTCGCAGTGTAGACAGGTAAGTTTCTTTTATTTAAACAGCTTTTTAGCCGTCTAATGAGCGTTTATACGTTCGCTTATTTGATTTTTCGACAGAAAGAAAAACTCCAAAATCACTGTCCACCACATTATAGGTGCTTTTTTTGCATAGAAGCTGGCTTTGTGCAGTGTTGTGTAATCCTGTTTTTGATCAACTACCTTTTTAAGATTTCTGCCGGCTTTTGAAACTCATTTTTCGTCATTCTTAAAGATCAACAGTCACTCGTCGTGGCTTAATGTTCACTCATCATGTAAATGCGTACGACGAATTCATTTACTCCGAAGCTCATCTTATGCTTTTTGACAATTCTCTGCACCCGCGTGCTTATTATATTCACTACTTACATCAAAAATCATAATGAAGTTTCTCGTTGTCCTCACCGCTATATTTAATTTTGCTACTTAAAGTCGATCTATAAATGTTATTTTAAAAAAAATCACATCAAAGAGGACCTAACTGCTCTAAAATATTTGCCATTTTAATTGATTATTCTTTTGGTCGGAAATTAAAGTGTAATGCTAGAATTTGTTACATTCTCTTCTGTGCAATTGCAATCTTTACGCTGATGCAATATAGAATGGAAGAAGTGGATTTATTTTGAAAAGGAATAAAAGCTAGTACAGGACACTGCATTTATCCCTACTGGCGCGTGTTCTGTATACAACAATCCCTTGATACTCCGTGGCTTGCCTTTCATCGATGCAATACTTCAGGAGTTCTGTTGGTCTTTAAAATTCTGCAAGATTCAGATGCGCATAAATTCGTATGCGAAATAATTACCCAATCTAACTGAAACAAATTCAATATATTGAGTGGAAAAAGATATGGGTCCAAAATAGGAGCACACAGAAAAAAGCCTGTGTTTTGTAGCATCAACAAGCTAACGGCTCCCGTCCACCAAGTTAACCGGCAGGCCATCGTACTCGGCTAGCTGTTGGCTGGTTGTGCATTTACTACTCCTCAAAAATTTGAATTTCGTGGAGTGTTTCGGAACTTGACTACACGTGATGTTCGAGCAATTACTGTATTTTTCTTAAAAAACAGCAGAATATGCGAGCAAATGCACACCATACGGAGGTGCCTGGACAAGATTTTGTTTTGCAAATACGGCTGATGGCGGTCTGTGCAATTTGCTCAAATCGATTTATCATACGAATAGGGAGCCCCATATATAATTGCCTGCGGCCGAGTCTATCTCTTCTTGCTGTGTAACACAATTAGTATACAACGATGCGAAAATGCCTGCTGGGTTTGGGTTTCGCATGCGTTAAAGGAGGAAAAATCCCTGGTTTTCACATAGGTATGATAACGATAATGCCCTTTTTCGGAATAAAGTAATGAATTGTGGTGAAAAGTGGATGTTTTGATCAAAACGACTGCGTAGTCAGCTGGTAGAACCGAATCAAGGGTACTCTTAATGTTTCTCATGCGAAGGTGGCATGCGGACTACTTCCATAGGACACGTGGGGCATGAGTGGGTTGCCTTGCTGCAGCCTGCATATTCTGCCTATTTGATGTCAAGTTTGGCACCGTTCAAATCCCTGATGTTCGGTGTGTGAATGTTGCATCCCTCGCCGGTTGATCTCTCACCTCTACTTAAATCTACATTACTGCTGAACCTGCTAAATCGAACAAGATGTAAAGATTGTTATTTATCAAAAAATACTAAGGCCTTTTATTCGTTTGCTCGTTGCTTTGTGTATTGCCCAGGTCTGACCAAATTGATATGATGGCTGCATTAATGAAACAGACACTACACGCATTTGTCTACCAGTATGATTTTATTCGAACGCCATGGGCAGAACCAATCCAAACAAAGCTTTGGTCTGCATAGAACAATCACCGTGTATCTTCGTTCGACTTTTAGAGTGACTAGATGTTATCGTTCAGAACAATTTTATGTGTCATTCTGCGACTCAGAATCGGTCTTTTACCGCGTTACTGTTGGCAATCCTGAAGGCCACCACTTCGCAACTCTTATTTCTACTTACTTATCCGTCGATGACCGAGCCCAGCGCTTGATGATTCTCGTGGTGAAGTTCGCTAAGGTGGGAACTCATAGCCCCTCATTTTTTTCTCCAACACCTCTAATCGACTGCTTTACTCATTTCTAGATGGCCCACCTCACTGATCCACAAAGGCACACCTTCCAGTCGCCGGTGCTACCCCTTTTAGTAATTTTCTTTCTTCAACACACCACACCACCAATTTTACCTAATCTGCATGAAATAGTTCGTCGTCATCGCGATGTCTTGCCTCCGAATTCCATCGAAACGGTACGTGAATGTTCCTACTTTATACGACATCCGTGCGTGTGATCGATGGGCGCGGGCATGCTTTCAGATGTCGAGTTGTTAGGTCAGTCTCAAAGCTCCCAGATCACAGATCATAGGCACAAGGTCTAACATTTTGCATGAACCCGGCACCACTCAATGGCATTGTGTTTGTTTAAGGTTTTGACAGAGGAGGGTGATTTCTCCTTCTTGAAGGATCTATCTTTACTCCCCCAATTCTTTCCATCAACGATAGGCAATGCATCAGGTAAGTTTATGATCTGTTTTTAATAGGTCTACAAAGCTAATGACCTTTTTCCTGTGTTGCTTTGTGCACTATGCCAAATCGACAACTCCAGGCACATTGCTCTGTCCAAATAACAGGAAAAGCCCGTTTGACAATTTATTAATTTACTGCGGTAATTGAAATAAGTCTGGCCTTGTGACGTCATTCTAAAACCTTCTTCCCTAAATCGCTTGCTTTGATACCTTGTTTGTCAAAAAAGTGTCTGGAGGTGTGCGCCTGAAAACTGCAGGCGAAAATTGACTTTTCGCTCTCGTATTCACTCTACGATTTGTTGGTGGTGTTGAATTTTCTTTCCCCAATTTACCTCGTATCGCCATACCCACTACTCAGATGCCAGCTACTTGTAACTCATTGTGGATGAAAAGCACTTTTTGGGCGCTTTATTTATTATCCTGTGCCGCCTCTTATTGCTCTTATTTTCTACACGTTGCACACATTTGGCAAAGTCGTTCACTATTAGTCATTCTGCTACCCATACTTTCACTAATCATTAGGGTTCCTGCACGTTTTTTAGCCCGTCTCTTTTTTACGCTGAAGTCTCAAAAATAGGGAAAAGCACTCCTTATGCGACAATTTGTTTGTGATTGTAGAGGTGGACAAAAATACGATGACACTGGCTGATCTTTGGCTCCAGTTTCTGCGATTCTATACCTTCGATTTTCAGTCACGTACCTGCATTGTCTCAATTACTAATTCACATCCTGTCTCAAAATTTTCGCGAGGCGGTTCTTGTTCTGCTCTTTGGGTGGAGAGTAAGTGGTCGTCATTTTAAGATGATTTTGTCCTATCTTTGCTTATTTCTTCGATTTATCAATTGATTAAATCCTATCAATAAAATTTGTCTTAGACGCGAATTCCCCATCAAAAATTTCAAATATCCGTCAAAACTTAGACTATAAGCTGAAGGGTTCTTTGTTCTGTTCTCTTGTAGACCCCTTCTACCCCAGCATGTCAATGACAAGAAATTTAATGCCCTCCACCTCTCAATACATTCGCCACCAATTCTTGGCCTGCTATTCGTACTTTGGTGTGCCCCGCCTCGCTAAAAACGGTCGACCACTCTTTATCAAGGTTGAGGTTCAGATTATCGATAAAGATGAGCCTCAGGAGGAGGATGGCCACAAACAAGTGAAACCCATCAATTGTACCAAACAAGAAGCAGGGAATACCGCCACTCATAAAGTACTTCTACTCAATTCCCTTGACCCTTCCAACAAATTTGAGTCACAGCTAAATAAGGTAAGTAAATTTACTTGCATTCAGAGTGTTAATCCCATCTGAGCATTGCGACTTTCTGAGTCAGATTTTGTTCATTCCAGTTTGAAATTGTTCTTTACGTATACGGTAAAGAGTAACATTTTGGAGTACGGCCAAATTATGCTGGGTATTTCTTAAGGTGGTTCAAATAATCAAAACTGGCCAGGAATTTGTTGTAGCAATGTAATGTATTGTATATGTTAAATATTCCATCTTTTAATCAGGTTACGGCATTGTTTGCGGAAATTTTCGCTACCAAAGCAATCATGCAGTCGCCCTTGCAACACAACAGTGACGATCAGTACACGGTAAAGGAACCTCCGAAGTATGCTGAGCTCAGTGAGCTCTTGCCACACACCATGAAGTTAGCCTTCAGTGAGATTTGCCAGCCCGGCTACGTCGAATGTAAGCCATTCTCGTCGCAAACCCTTAACCAATTGTTTCTAAAAATATTTCAACGTTGACTTGAAAACTTTTTCTAAAATACTTCGCCGAGAGTGTGGTTCCTCTCGTAATTTGCCCGTGCATCGTATTTGATGGGCCCAGTCGCAGAACCTGACAACAGTATCGTAAATATTTCACCAACACAACGCTTTATTCATGCACGTTTTCCTCAATATGCATAATCCAAACTATTCAAAGAAGTATAACTTTGTTGTTTCGCTACTTACCCCATGTTGTCGAAGTTTACAATGTCACTTTTGTCTCGAACATCTTTGCTTGAGGCTCGTGGTCTCATCCACCTTAACTAAGGCCTCTAACTCCGGTGCACTCGAATATCCAGAGAGCCCACTACGAAACTAACTTCCCTGCCTCCCTCTCATTGTGTGTAGGTCCCAGTGCCGATTACCGGTTCCGCCGGACGTTATTGTGGTTTGCCTGTTTTCGCGACTCATGTTAATAAGCTTGTGTTTATGTACGGCATGTAATCTTTTCATTAATTAAATCTAACTTTTAGATGTTGCGCATGCCTGTTTGGCAAAGGCGCGCAATCAACTTCGCAACGACTTATGCCTTTACAGCCAACTTGATTTAGCTCAAATGACAATTTTAATCCGAAACTTCTGCTTATGTCTGTGGCAGTCTATTTGCTCCAAATTCCAGGAAAAGGGCCTCAGTACTACGACTGCAAAGCGGCTGGCTCGTTTCGGCGTGCAGGCTCTTCGTTCGGTAAGCAATTTTGCATGTTTCATCTCAGTTGAACACGATCAGTTCATTTGAGTCGTTTAACTGCCCCAACGTCTTTATTGCGCTAGCATGCCTTCTTAATTTTTTTTTTAAATTAATAAATGACGATTTTCGTGGAAAAACTGTAAAACTTTTTTTTTTCGAAAAATAACTTCGCTAAAATTGTTTTATGGTTCCTACACATCGTTTCCGAATATGCTGAACTGTAGGGAAGACGTGTTCGCATATTCAAAGTTTCAATTCAGGTTCCTATGTCATTTGTTTCGCTTGCAGCATCTAAATGTATACACAAATTTTTGCGTTTTCAAGTGATCTGTATTTCCATAGAAATATTGTCCTAGATAACTCAACTAATATCAAAATTACCACTTTTGCACACTGCGCAATTGAAATTCTAACGTGACAAACGTCTGCAAGTAGTTATATTTATGAAAGTCAAGTCACTCGAACATGTACCTTCCATTGCTACCATGTGGGTATTTGTTTTGGTAGGATGTTTTTCCATGATCTTAAGAACATGGTTTCATCTGGACCATTCATTTGCTTTTTAATGATGGCAGTTATCTGAACTCTAATGCATTTGTTGTGGACCCCGATATGTGGTCTCTAAATGCGCTGAGCCACTGCATTGAGTTTTGCCCCCTTACGCTACCCTGATATCCACGAAGACGATGCCGGAGATGGCGGAGACAGCCGTCTACCATATAGCTCAACTAAGTTGTCGGTGTGTCGTGTATGGCGTTTGCGCGTGTATTTTTAGCTCAGCTGTGTGACAGCGTGAGTCATAGATAGGCTAACATCGAGACCTAGCGAGTGTTGCTATTACACGTAGAGATGATCCTTTGTGACTTGAGGTTTCCCCATGGCTGACAGCATACTGTGAAAAGCGAGCATTGTGTCGGAGAATGGAGCGGCCAGATCAGCGTCAGTGAATGTACACGGGTCACAGCACATTTGATTCTATCGGAATTGATACATTCGATTTGAAGCGATGGCGATTTAAAGTTGAGTGAGGTCGTCATTCACGAATTTCAACATTTACTGTAGTAATTTCAATCTTCAAATGCATAGGGATAGAAGTGGTCTTCTCGTCGTTGACTCTTGTCTGAACTCCTCATTTATACGTTTTTACATTATCATTTTATTTGCGGAAGTTGCTTTACTCGAATTTTATTCAAACACGGCTCTTCAAATTAGGTGAGTTACCAACTTCCCGCCCTGTCTTTTTTCCACATTTGAAGGAGTATTTTTTGTGAATGTAGGCCCATGCTACAGGTAGGATAAAGACCGACGTAATTATCATTACGTAGCCAACTATTCTGATCGGATTGTCTAAGAATGCCGGTGTAGATGTCGAGGGCAATCGCACGTTGTTTGGTTCCAGTCCTTAAGAGAAATTTATTCACCAATTCTAGTGATTTGTCGTTGGCACCCCAGTGGAAGAGCGCCTGACTTGCTGTTTGAAGTTGTCCAATAGTTCTCTTTGCGGTATACTTTAATCCGCTTGTTAGTGCAGCAATTTTGCCTACTGTAGACACTTCAAACTCTTAAATACATACTGCGCAGCAAAGATCAGCCACGAGCCCCACCGCTCACATCCTCATCTAAGGACCAGTCGGAAGCCCACGAGCAAGAGCACACTTTAACCCCTCCACATACCCCTCGAGAGAAAAAGTTGGAGTGTGTCGGAGACGTTGAGCACAAGTCGGAGGACGCCATTCAAGAGTGTCCTTACGATGACAACGAGTATGGTGGCCTGGTGTCTTATAAGGCTTCTCACGTTGATGACGATTTCAGCATGGATGATAAGGTATGTTTGTGGTAATTGGTTAAAGAACCAAGCACAAGTGTGTCAGTACCTTTACATTCCCTCGATTTTTTATAAATCTGTAAGCATGAAGTAGCAGCGAGCTGTTTGGACTTGTGGCATCCGCTACACAGTATTATCATAATGTTTGTATTTCATGCGTCAAATATCACCATGGTTAAACTTCCACTTTTTTTAAAAAATTTCAAAATTTAATGTGCCATTTTTATATGACCGAAATTGTAAACATTGGTTCTCTTTACTGATCATCTTTTGACGTGTCACATGTTTCCATGTTGTAAAGACTCCCGACACAGTCCTCTCGGACCTCAATGATTCTACCAACGTTGAAGAGGATGAGTCGGTTCCCAACAACGATACCGGTTGTGTTGAAAGCCGTGTTGAGGAGCCTTCCACCACTCTGAATCTGTCGTGTTCACCTGGGCTGAGAAAGGAAGCGGTAAATGCTGTCGATGCAAGCGAATCTTGGAGCAAGTACATAAAAAACAGTGATAATTACTTCAAGGCAAGTATGCGATCCTTTAAGTTGAGTCTTTGGAACACTCTCTTAACAAGCGCTCCAAACATTACTTCCTAGGCAGTGAAACTTTAATGAAGATGCCATGAACATAGCCAAGTCTTTTCATGTTCATCAGTCTAAAATCCAAAAGAATGCATTTATATTCGGTGCACATATTTGTAGCTTATCTGCGAGCTAAAAAGTATCACTAAAGTCTTGTTTTGAACCAAATCGGACCAAATTTCTCTTTTAGATAATTGATTCGGACTCACCAGGTTACTACAACTCCAAGGTTTCGGAAAGTTTGCGTCCTGAAGATTATTCATTTCCTTTCGTGAGCAATGGTTTCAGGAGTCCTGGAAAGTTCAAAGTAGCCGCCTCGGTTCTCGGCCTGGCTTTCTGGAATGAACCGTCTACAATGCTTGCTTATCACTCATTGCCCGCACCAGTTTGCCTGCTCTGCGGTAACTCGGGTCACGAAAGTCATAGGTGTGACTCGAAACCAAATCAGTCCATCTCTTTAGATGTCTGGAGGAAGTTAGCAAAGGATGTACCCAGCGTGATTAGTGCCGAGCACCTTCAAGAACTGTCTGATTGCCTTCAACAGCTTTCTTCATATCATGCATCCAATGAGATTAATCAAGTTCGAGAGGTGAGGTTCATTTCATTCAGGACAAACATGGAAGCTTCCGCGTTAAATTGATCACTTGCGGTTAAATGATGTAACTCAATTCATAGACATCTCTGCTCAACTTCGATTCCCCTCCCTCTGTTGGCTATTTTAATGAGCCACGGAATTATAATTTACAACCCATTTTATGGTCCAGATTTGTTTCAGTATGCGACGCTACCCAGTTAATGTTGCACTGCTCGAACTATTCCATGTCTAGATTAATTTGTTTTATTTAGTGTTAGAGTTATTTGTCCACCCACAACACTGCGTAACGCTTATTGTAGTGTAATGGTTTGCCGAGCAATTCACGAATCTTCGAGTGTGCGGGCATGTACAACTAGTGTCTAAAATGGTATTTCGTGTTTTACCCATTTGGGGTGCAAGCGGCCCGCGGCTTTCGTGACTGTCCGTGATTTCAGAGATTAAATGATGTACCTCAATCCGTAGATATCTCTGCTCAATTTCGATTCCTCTTTCTCTGTTGGCCATTTTACTTAGCCATGGAATGAGATTTTAGAACCAACTTCACGACGTTACACGGATTTATTTTTGTATGCGACTCGAGCCAGTTAGTGTTGCACCATCCAGGGCTTCGATCGGTACGCCATTAAGCATGTCTACAGTAGCGTTGCTAATTGGAGGAACCTTGAAATAAAAGGCCCTGTCGTTTGTACCGCGCGCTACAGGATATGCATACTATTAAGGCTGCATTTCAGCAGACGGTCCTTGCTTGGCGTTCCGCACCGTTCAGTTCGTTCCCTTAACGGTAGCCATGTTTGGTTCCTTCATTTCTATCTTTCCGCCTTCACCTGCTCCTGTTTTTGTTTCCCCCTGTCTGTCCACTTAGTACATCATTCTCGCCCTCTACTTCCTTGTCACCTCATGCTTACAAAGACCCTGGAACTGCTTGAACTATTCCGTGTTTGGGTTCATTTGTTTTAGGGTTATTTGTCTAACTACAACGCTGAATAACATTTGTTGTAGTGTAGTGTTTTGCTGAGTTATTCATGAGTCTTCCATTGTACAGCCACGTAGAAGTAGTGTTTAAAGTACTGTATGGTTTTACTCGCCTGAGGTGCAAGCGACCCGCGGGTCTGACTGTCCGTGGTTGTAAAACATGTTGACTTCAGGCAATGCAAGGGCAACGTCGTTTCTCATTGTTTCAATTTATCGCTTTCCTTTTTCTTGATGCCTAACGGTTAGTACCTAATTACGAAGGGAATTGTTTCTCTATTTCAGAAATTTGTTGGTGACCTAAACGATCTCTTTCGGCTTGAATATCCGACTGTTTCCTTGAAGTTGTTCGGTTCTTGTGCCAATGGCTTCGAGACCACCACGAGCGACATGGATATCTGCGTTTTCTTCCCAGCAAATTCATCGGAAGCCTTATCGCTGTCAGATCCAAAAGAAAGGCTTAACGTGAGTTTTAAAAAGAATCGAACGCTTTGTAACCTTATCAAGTCTTTAGTTAACCTGTGTAGCAGAGTTGGTTATTATGTCACAACACACCTACCTGCTAATGTAACCAAATATGAGAGGTAGTTCTAGGCTCAACCAGCATTGGTCAGGATTTTATCTGGCTGGGGTCGTTACTAGTACCCCACATTTATTGATTCAAGTCCCTGAATCCGTTAACTGACCCTGCCTATTAATTGAGTGGTGGCTAATGTGTGGAAAGTAGCGTTAATAAGATCTAATATTTCGCACTTGCCTTCTCTGTCTTCAGATGATTAAGTCATTCAAGCGAATCCTGAACCAAGGGGCACGTGGTTTGAAAATTACAAACATTTTACCCATCCTCTCTGCAAAGGTGCCAATAATCAAGTTCAGGGTTGAAGGTCTTGGCGAAGCTGATCTTAGCTTCTCTAACTACTTGGTATGTTTAACGATGAACCTTACGTCTATTAATTTTTTGGGCGCGAGGATTGCCCTGCGGGTGACTTTGATCAGGTCTGCTTTTTTGCATCTGCCATTCTTTTATTGAACTCTCAATAATTTGCCTCCTACTTTTCTCCCCTCATGGTCATTTGCTCTTCCTGTAGGCAATCACCAACACATCAATGCTGCGCTTCTACAACCAAATTGATCCGCGTCTTCGAGTTTTAAATATTGCCCTCAAAGTCATTCTCAGGGTAATTTGGATTCATCTTCGTTAGCATACTCCTCAATTTTTCTTACGTTTTTGCGCTTTTTTTATAGACGTGTAATGTGGCAAAGTCTTCCTCAGGAGGAATTTCGTCATATGCGTTTGCCATAATGATGATACATTACCTTCAGCAAATTGATTTCCTGCCAGTTCTTCAAGAGGCAAGTTTCGCGGTTAATAATAATAATGCTTTTTCGTTTTTGAGTGAACGCTTGTTTCGAGGGTAGCTGGTTTTGAACTAAAGAACATCTGCACTTTTGTTGTGCGCCGTTTATTTTACTCCTACTAGCTAGCGAAAATAACTGCTTTTCACTGGATGCTGGTTTTATGGTGTAACGCCGTTGCTTGTCATATTTAGCCGGTATCTAAATTGTCACGTCGTCTATTCACCTTAGGCCACGGTGACCTGTTTAATTCAAACTTGTAATCAGTTATCGCATGCAGCACAGCGCGACTTCATACACAGCGAACCACATCCGACATACCGATTAATCCGTACTTACTTCATTTGTCACAATTCGCAAATCAGGCATATTGCTAACTTTACTAAACGCTTAATGCCATGTTATTTGAATCATCAAGACATTACAATGCTTATCAAATATGTAAAAGTGCCTACTAGATATGTTTGTCGAAAGTCGGCGAATTAACTTTTTTCATGGTAAGTGTAATGAGTTTGGAACCCTGCACGTTTTGCATTATTATCTTTTACTACCCGTTTTTCTTCGTCATAGCTGTATGAAGGCGTTAGTAGGCCCATAATCAGGGCAGGTGATTGGAACGTGTGGTATCAGGACAATATCGAAATTGTTGTAAGTTCTTCCATTTATTGACTTGAGGAATTTTAGGTTGCAGTGGGTGGTAAATCAATAGTTTTTTACATTTAATTTCTACCATATTTCCTCTAAATAAGATTACTTCAGTGGAAGTGTTTTTCTCAACTAAAACGTGTTTTTAGAATTTGTATGTTTAGACTATAGGTGAAAAGAATGCAATTTTAAGTTTTCCAATAGAAGTTAATCTACTAGGTGTGTGGGTCGCTTTTCAATATTCCTATGGTCTTCACGATTATCGGCCAGTGGGATTTTAGATGCATAAGAAGTGTCGCGACAGCAAATGAACGCTGAGATATTTTATTTGGAGCTCTGATTCAATGCATATTGCGAACTGAAGAAACAAATCCACTTTTGCTTCATCCCCTGAAGTATGCAGAGTTGTCTCGTTGAATCTGCCTGCATTGTTTCTAGGCTAGATTAATTTTAATTTAGTTTGCTTTTCTTGGTAAATCTTTAATGCTGCAAAGGGTGGAACTATTTTTCTATATCAGAAATCTGCTAGTGGGAAAGTAAATGACGTTAGCTAACCTCCAAATAGTTTTCGTTCTGGTTAATTCCACTCCGTTCCATTCGCTTAATTTAGCGCAAGCTGTGGCACCCTCCTTCAAAGGACGTTTCTGTTGCTGAACTCTGGTTAGGTTTCTTGCGTTACTATCTCTTTGATTTTGATCGGGAACGTTATGTTGTAACTATCAACCAAAAACCCAAGCTAGAACGCTTCGCCAAATTGTGGAACTCGCTTCTCGCGGTCGAGGGTAAGTCTTGGTACCAGGCACCTTGAAGCATTACCGTCGGCTACTTGGTACGTCCACAGTGCGTCGGACCAAGATTACCAGCAGGAGCGGTTTAGTTGACCTGTGCATTGTTGGTAAATGTATCTTACTGAACGCGTTTTATTTCTTGACTTCTAGGCGTAATTTTACTTTTGGTTAGCTTTTAAATTTGCTGAATCGCTGTCAAGGTCCTTTAGTTTTTGTGAATATTTTAATGTACTTTTTTGGGGCTGAAATCAGTCATTTCTTGGTGGTCCAGGTGTCGAACTGTTTAATAATCTTATATTTTGTAGATCCTTTTAACCTGCATCACAATTTAACTAGCGCCGTCCAAAGAAACGGTAAGATGGCTGTTCTTGAATGCATAGTCCTTAGATCTTCAAAACTGACTGTTCACATGCGTCAACACTTTTTGAACACTTTAGTTCTCAACCATGTTCTGAACTCGTTCTACAAAGTCCTAGTGTGCCACAGCACATTGCTGCGGGGTAATATGGTTCTCAATTCTTGGCGATAGTGAGTATTTGTTGTTTTCTATCATTTATTTTTTATTTTTATGGAGCAAAAGCGACTGAATAACGTTAGTTTTAAGCGCCCTTAACCTTAATAAAACATTGAACTCAACGTCGGTTTTGTTGTAACTGACTGGACTGCGCCCAAGAGTTCGTGGTTGACAACAAGTTGGGGGTGATGTGCATCCCTGGCCAACTATCTGATTTACCCTTTGGGTTCTTGTGCTCAGGTGTGAGCCGAGTACGCACGGCTCTGAAGGCAGGAAGGGACTCGAGACAATTATTTACTAGACTGCTCACTGAATAATGAATGCACCGCTGTAAAAATCGCAAACGCCCAGTGGTAGCCTTCATTAATGGGAGTTGTGCGACAGGCATTAGTTACGCGATTGAGGGTATAGTGATAGATGCCATTGTTTGATGGATGGAGGTGACAGACGGGGATTTGTTCAGATTCCATATTGGTACATTCATTTTAATAGTTTATTTCAATGTTTGGTGGGCTACTTTCCTGTAAAAGTGAATTATTTTAACAGAATGCAAGCTTTTAATTGTTAGACATATCCCTAATTAGGTCTATTAGTTGATGTGGTCTTTCTCGGATGGATGAAGTTACATTTTCAGTGATCTGAGAGGTTTATTAAGCTTCGGAGAGTTATGCTTAATTTTACTAACGTAAGTGTTTATATAAAATGCCCCAAGACAATTTAAAAGAAACCTTGAAGCGAACTCTAACCTTTGGAATTTTGGTTTTCCTGGTAAATGCACCGTTTTGGTGGCCTCATGGTGGGTGCGTGAACCGAGGTAAATCCTCGTGCTGGTTGACGCTCGCGGACTTGAAGTAATTCTTTGACATATTTAATGAAATGAGGCAGTCCCCCTGTGCGGTTGCTTTCTTCCTCCCAGTCGCTGCCTTGGCAACGGCGTCCGTTTTCGTGCGAATTTCCCACTGCATAATATCTTTCGTAGATAGATTTCTCCATACCTTAACTGATAGTTGGATATCTGAGAGGCCGTTATGAAAGATATCGCCGAATGTTTTAACATGGCGTCAAAACCGTTTATGTATTCATCTGACATATGATGCTGTCTTTTTTACGTGAATTCATTTGATTTTAAACCATTTAAAAGTAATTTTTATTAATGTGCATTTTAAAATGGTGGCTATGCGGCTGCAATCGTCTTGGCCACTGCAGCTAAGGAAATTGTTCGCCAAACTTTAATCGCATCCTTCCAGCTTGCTCTTTTCACCTGAGAAGTATAACGCAGAAGGCTCCGGTGTCAGAACCAAGGCTAAGGGAACACCCCAGGCTTCGTCAAGTGAGAAGGAGAAGAAACTTCCTCTCCAGTCGACAGCTACTCCACCCTCCTCCGTGTCGGCTGGCCGTCCTATCGGCCAGCAGCAGGCAGCACCTATTTATAGACGTAAGCTCGAGCTCTATCTAAAAGTTCAGTTTACTTTTTAACGTTGCTTGCTTTTCATGTCTCTTGTATCACCTGTGATGTTGCTTTTAAGTCTCCTACCATTTGCATTGACAACTTGTTCCTTTTCACTTCAAACTAGACAGTCATCTGGAAGAGGTTCTTGGTTGGCGTCATATTTTTAACAACTGTTTTGTATCCAAAATATTGCAGTATGGTTGTTTTGGGTTGTGAATTCTGATGTGATGAGTGTATTTTGTATTCACTTTATTTGTTTACATCGCTCTGGTAAGAAATCTATCGGGGCGATGGCTATTTTTGGCTTAACTTCAGTTATCTTAAATCGTACCGGTTAAATCCGATCTAAATTACGCAAAAACATAGTTGTAACTCTTTTTTGCATTTGATACTGGTAAAATTCGACGTTGATGTGTTGCATTTAGGTGGAGGGTTTTCTCGCGGCAGCTCCAAGCGTGGTCGTGGCGCTGCCACCGCATTTGCAACCCCCACCCAACCTCAACCGTATTCCCAGCGAAGACCTCAGGAGGCTGCTAGACTGCCTCGAAGTGACGATGCCCCCCACAATGGTGTAGGTGGCCCCTTCCGCAGGGGTGTTGGTGATCGTGGCCGTGTGAACAGTGGTTTCCGAGCCCGCGGTCGACGTCCACGTTGAGGCGCTATACAACCACTTGTCCCACACACCCCACATAATACAGGACTTTCACCTGTTTTGATTTTGTCACAATGTTTAATATGCACTCGTTTTATAGTATAAATCTGTGGATCGAGTGGGTTGCAAATGGACTGATTTAAACCAAACCGAGTGTTGAATCGCCCTAACCGCGGAATGTAAGACATTAAAATGATCGTTGACTGTATGTGTTTGCCGTTAAAATGAATAAGGCATCAGTTGTTTACATAAACGGTATAGGTATGCGGCCTCTTAATTTAAGATTACGCAGTCGGGAATCGGTATCTCTTAGTAGATCAGTGGAAAGAAATGTTGTCATTGCGTTCATGCTATGGTCTTATTTTAGATTGGCGTAAATGGATACCTTTTCTTGCTGTTATTAGTGAACTAGTGAAGTTGAGAGCTATGACACTCAATTGGAGCCTTGCGCTAGATCCTTGTACCTCACACCACTCATGCCGCCTTCGTCATTTTAATCGCTTTTATGGAGTTGATTTACATCATTTAATAACGCTAGTGTGTCAATTCAATGAGAGTTAAAGGTACGCATAAAGTCTCCAGGAGGGCGTTTTCAAACTCTCGAACGGCGCGGTACGGCATCTTTATCCTGGTGCTGAGTATTTTTCGGCAAAATATCCGCGAACAAGCACCTCAGCGAGAAAATGCGGGTCGAGTGGTTTCACTTCCCTGTTGGTGGTGTACATTGCTATCACATTGCTCTGATCTACTTTTCGAGTGCTTACCCGTGAAGCAGGATTGTTAAAGCAAATATTCGAGTGGTGCTTTATTTGTCACTCTCGGAGGAACCTAGTTTCGGTGGTGTGCTTTCTGTTGTTGATGGTCAGAATCTGCATTGTTGTCGGGTTCCATGGTAGTGTGAGGTGGGCCTTATAGTTGTTTAAATTTGCAAACGCAGCACGGCTTTTAGATGCTAAGAACAGCGTATCGACCGTATTATTGATTATAACCTTTACTTCGTGTTTTACGTTTAAATTATTTTCGTTCATTTGAATTTACGGAGTGGTTTCGTTGATTCTCCAGTATGCTGGTACTTACCTAATGATCTCGGTAATTTCACTTTTGCTAATAGTTTCATTTAGAGTTCTGCTGGCACATGGAAATATCAAGTATTATGAAGCAGGGGGAAATGGAATAGCTGGGGAAGACTGGTTTGTGTGGTTCATTCCACGAGACGGAGCCCGAGTTAAGTTAGTCAGGTGGGAACTGAAAGGAAAAGCTATTTTAGCTTGCAAGCATTCGGGTTCAACATTGCCAACAGCAGAGCGGTTTTTTGTGTGCTCATCCGGTTGCTTGTACACAGACTGCACGCAGGACAGTGCATTTGGACTGCGGGTGGATGGTAGCGTCTTCTCTTTGTTCGCTTTTAATGTTAGCAACAGAAAGGCCGGTGATTATACCATAACTGTGACGTTCTATGGTGCGAGGCAGTCTTTCAAGAAAACGAGCCGCCTCGCAATAGCTTCCCCACCTGTACTGATTGGAAACACTCTGATATGCAATTTCATGCAACTACAGGAAGCACTTCGCAGCGCTTCAGCAATAATTCTTAGTAAATCAAAGCTCGAAAAAGTTTATAGTGGACTGAGACGTCAACTGGAGGGGGTTGCAATTAGCGGTTCCATAAAAACTGAGCCTGGAATTCCAATCGGCAAAACTGAAGCGCATTTAATTCGCCATGCTAGGCACAGCAGTTATCCTCAGTTTGTCCCGTGTGATTTCTTTTTTCAGTCCAACATTTTTTATTTCACGTGTCTTCCGACCATTGAAGATTATGGCTTAGCTTTATTGACATACAATGCATTGAACAAAACATTCAGCACAGATAATGCTGGAAAGGATCTTAAAGACTGGGTGATGCAGCGCTTCACCCCATGGCTACTCAATACGTCGGTTACTAACATGAAATCCATTCCCGCTTACTTCGGAACAGATTTCCGCGTAACTCCTTTGAAAATTGGTTGGCCAGCCGTAGTTCATGTTGGTCAAAAAATTCAGATTTTTTGCTCTGTTCATGCCTCAGCGTTGTCTGATGGAGTAATATGCAGGAGAGTCAAAACTCTGACCACATCAACTCCCGCAGCCCTACCTGCTGGATTTTGGATCGAAACAAAACTTAGTGAAAATTTTTTCACTCTAAGAAAGGATTTTGCAGAAATTACAGATAGTGGAATATACGAATGCAATGTTAAAACCAGTGGAATTCTGCTACCAGTTTGTACTGACAGGCGCCTTGCAGTAATCCCTCATTTAGCGGAAACCAAAATCTTGATTTACAAAAACCTTGTTTCTGCAAATTTACTTAAGGCTGGGGACGTGCATGATCAGTACACCGAATCGTCATTACCTTTTTTCTTAACCAATCAGGATGGATATGTGGTTTGCTGGACGAAAGCAAGAGTGGATGCCAATGTATCCACAAGACTCACATTTAAAAGAAAAGATCCGAAAATTAGATTTCAATCTTTGATGCCTTTTAAGTTGGAGCGTGTTTTCCGAATCCGAGAAGGATCTCATTGGCTTCAGTACTTCTACTTTCACAAGATTAGGGGCAGAGGTAAACCAAAATATGCAGGAAATGTGACAGCAACCTGTTATGCAACCTACGAGGATGAGAGGCACAAGATGCCTGATTGGATAAAGGATCCAAACGATCAGATGGAAAATTTCGAGCTTGACCACGTAGCTTCGAGCACTCGCAACCTCCTTTTCCTTCACGGTGTAGAAGGAAATCTGTGGTTTGAGAGTGATACTCCTCAAATTCAGGAACATCCTGTCCCTCTAGGCACTACTATTCGCTGCACCGGGGCCAAAGGATACCCTCCACCCAAATACGTGTGGTCCATGGCTGATCCCAGTCAATCCTCATCTCCAGATGTTTTCAGTTACATGGATCTTGCGTATTCTCCAGGTGTGTTTCGTGATAGTCCGGAAGCACTTCCTGCTTCTACCTTTCAAGAAAATCTCCTGCAACTCCCTAGTGACCCCAGGTATAGGGGAATGAGTTTTCTCTTTCGATGCCAAGCATTCAACGAAGTTTCACGGAGGGTTTACAGAGTTGAGCGTCTCATTTTTCTATCTATATGTCTGTGTGACACCCGATTTGTGTCGCTGGACTTGTCGCTCATATATTCACCACAAATGGTAGCGGGACACGCCTTGCTCGATAATCGTGACCTTGACAATAGTCTAGACTTCTACGGTCAACGCTACGTCCATGTACTGAGGCAGATCATCTTGGGATTGTCCCAAGGACCCAAGTACGTTAGAATTAGTACGAATCCGACTTGTATACTAAATTCTACCCTGAAAACAGCACCACTATACGCCAGCCCAATGCCGTTGACCCACAGTTTGTCGCGTTTCCAACTTGCTAATGGACTGATTTCAGCCAGTGTGAGACCCAAGCCTGTTTACCAGTCTGGTGTTGATGCCTGCCCACGGAAAGTTCCCGTCAATCTTACCGCGGTACTTCGCTCAGTAGAACAGAACATATCAATACAAAATCCATATTTCCTAAACTTACGACGTCTTCACGCTATTGTGCTACCCTTAGATCGCTGGGATCAGGGTGATGTGGTGGAATTCATGCAGAGAATGAGAAAAAACTATGTTAGTGTCATTGGTGTTTACTTCGAAAACCCAACAGGATGGGCTCAAGGCAGTCCCGAATACAAGGTTCAGCTCTCCAGCAGTAAGACATTTAGTGAAGGCTGTTCTACTCAGACTGAAACTGACCCAGCCACTTTCATCGAACGCCTTCCCTTGTTTGACGCAATATGTAAAGTAGCTCGGGCAGCGGATGTACAAGAGAGATGGATTGAGGGAATCACTTTCCTGTCGCATATACAGAAATATATATTTGTTGGGGAAAATATCACACTGTACAGTGTTGTTCGCCTTAACCCATTCGATACAGAAGAGTACCAATTGAGTGCTTGTCTTATGGAACACTCTGCAACCACTGGGCTTAATCGCCATCAGGACACTCAGCAAAAGCTTGAGGCCTTGTGTGAAGAGCAGCTTGGTTTTTCATCAGCCAGCAAACCTGGAGAAGTGTGTCTCACGATAGCACAGCCCTTAACGCTTAAAGCGTCGCACGATGGGGTCACAGCTATCGTCTACCAAAAGGGTGTAAACAAAACGTTGGTGAGTTGCAGTAGATCTAATGCCTACCTTGAAATACCAGGCTGAAGACTACGTTTGTGCATCATGCTCTCAAAAAAATTAGGCATTTTACGTCTTAAAAGCCTCTCTGGATTGGCCCATGAACATCTGTCGTCCAGATTTTCCGCCATGAGTGGTCTGGTGCCGCTTCTCAGCCACTTCTAGCTCATACTTTGTAACTTAGAATCCAGTCTGTTAGTTTTACTACAGGATTTGGAGTAGTTCAGTGATATCCTTTAATGCACATGTTGCATTCAAGTTTCGTTCAAATAAAAACAAAAAATATGCGCCTCAACGGTTTTAGAGATAGTAAACGCTAAACAACTCGATACTCACAAACTGGTGAAAAACTTTCATGTCCGTGCCAGATCCACATTATCATTTACTGATGAGACTTGCGTTTTTCAAGGCCTTGGTTTTGCTTTAACAACGTTTAAGTTATTGATGAACTTGTCATCGTTAGCGTAATTTTTGTTCTTAAATTTGATAGAAAACTACTAGTAATAGGGCAAAATCACAGCGAAAACTTTCCTTTTGGAAGTTGTGTGTGGTTCATATTAATGTGATTGTGAACCCCACCATTCTTTTAAATACTTTGTTAGTGTTTATGGTGGTCTGGATGCATTTCGAAGCGTTGATCCAACCCAATTGATTCACTCAACATCTATTTTGCAGGCTGTCTCTCGTTATGTTAGGTACAACATCAAGCTCCAAAAACCGGATTTTAAGAAGCCATATCTATCAGTGAAGTACTTGGCAGAAAAGGCCCAGGATTCCGCGGAGTTCGAGTGTATTATCGAGGTGACAAATCTCGCATTTCAAATAGACCTTATTTACCGGTCCAGAAGAAATGGGTCATTTGTGGTAGTCGCAAGAACCACTGCAATAAAGGCAGGATTCGTTTATGGAGATGTTAACCGTAAGGTTAGTGCCCGACTTGTCTGGCCAGCCGTTCCTGCTGAAGCGGAAGACGCCGATATTTATTGTCTCCTAAGTAATCCTCCAATCGTTGAGAAAGTCCTTGACTCACTCCCACCCCACTCAAGTGACCCTGTTCGTCTGACCTTCATTACCTCCTGTCCCATGAGACCTACGATAAAGCGAATCGTCTCCTCGCCGTTCACCGGAGACTCGGAGACTCCAAGGTTGGGTGCACGAATGTCTTTTGTCTGTGAGGCAGTAACAGGGGGAGAGACTAATCATCCTCTGCAAATGGCACTTGCTGACAGGACAGAACAATTTGTCATCTGTTCAAGGACAGGAATGGGCAACGTGAACACCACTGTACCGTGTACCTTTGCCACTTGGAACGAAGGCGGATGTGGGAAATTCGCTCTAGACGCCAAAACGACTCATCCTAAGGCTTTATTTGCTCAGTGTAGTATTTCACAGGTTCCAAACAAGAAAATTACCCTTCGACGCATAGAATACACAATGCCTATGGTTACGATCGATCAGTTTGACGCATTTCTTTTCTGTGAGACCCTGCCGCCTTGGCAAGTAGATGAAGATCTGCGCCTACTAAGTGATCCACTAGATAACCTTTTTGCTGTCGATCCGACCGTGACAAGCATTAACATAGGATATTACAAATGGGTATGTGATGTCATTGCCTATCCACCACCAACGAGCTATGATTGGCGCATTAAGGATGCACAGCCCTGGAATTTCGACTTAGGGCTTAGAAAAATACCCGTTGAGAAGTCGAATTTTAATTCCACACGCACAAATATTGAGGCGGTATCTGCACGAGGTTTCTTTCCCAAGAAGTTCATTCCCCCGAACACTACTTCACCGTATTTTTTCACTCTTTCACGAGACGTGCCCTCTTTCTGGCAAGTCGGGGCTTGGGGAACGGCAACACTGGAGTGCACGGCGACGAACAAAGAGGGAAAGACAACAGTCAGAGAAGGCTTTGTTAACTACGCGACTGGAAATTCTACAGGTCGGTGGTTGCCGCAAGGTGCGTTGCATCCAACGATTGGGCGAGGCAATTTGGGTGAACCATGGATCGCAGAGTGCCCAATTATTGGAATGGCAGGTGCCAGTCGAGTAATTAATTTGTACATTCTTGGAAAGGTTGAATTCTTGCAGGAGCAGTATGTAAACGTTCCTTTATTCCATGTGAGATTGCATCAACCTAATAAGGATCCAGATGTCATTGGAATACAATGGTTTAAACCAGTAGGGTGGTGGAGAAATGCACCTTCGAATGAGTTTGATGTCATTATGGGTAAAAATTCACGGGGCTACAAAGTTGTGAAGATTCATGTACACGAAGCTTTGGTGAGTTGTCCTTCAAGTTTATACCTTTTGATCCTCTCAAATGTATCTTTTTTGGTGGAGCGGATAACCAACAGTTTGTACATGAGTGTTCTTATTTGGGTTTTAAGATATTGAATTAGAAAAAAATTCACTGCCAAATTCTTTGAAATTTCTGTTTTCACCAAACCCCTAAATTTCAAAATAAGTTTGCCTGGACAAGAAAAAGGGATACAAGCCTTATTTTCTAAAAAAAATGTGATTAAAAGTTTACCCTATTTCATGACTGTAATTTAATTCTCAAAATTTCAAGTCCAAACGTATCAATATTTATAAGCCCTCTTTCTTTTAGTGAAATCGTAGATTTTACATTCTGTTTTTACATAGCATAACCTTAGAATGGCACCTGTAGTTCCTACTTGCTTTCCTTTAATAATTAACTGTTGATGTAAAAGTCGATGCTTTTGAAAATTAGGTGGCCGTAAAAGAGTGGAAGGAGAAAACCCAGTAACAAATACACACTACGATACGGCAAAATAATATCAATATGATATTAATTTATGCGATATAATATGAATTAATATCAGCCAAAAATATTCATAGTTGTGAGGATAAGAGGTACCTCAAACGGCTCACAGTTTTCTTGCCAGGGACTGAGCCACTTCTATTCCATGTCCCTTCTAGCACTTTGTGACAAATGCTTTTGGGTTTTAAATGCCCTTGAGGATTTTACAGAATCTCCGTGCGCATTTGTAGACCACTCATTCTGCCTGCTATGTTTGCCGTTTCTACTTGTTCGATGGATACAATGAGGTCGAGGTTCAACCAGAATTCCTGGTGTTTCATCCAAGTGATCCACCCATTTTTGCCTATAAGCTTGTCTCTGGTGTGTGGGCGTTTGCTGGACAACATGTTCAGCCACCCACACTATTCAAAGGTGACCGTGTGGAGACCAGGTGCCTCGTCTGGCACAATCATGATACTGTAATCTCCAACTTAGAGAGCCCATTTCTCGCAAGATCAGATCCCATGCACTCACAAATTAGCAAGATTCCGTCGGATAAATTGCGATCACGGAAGTTTGTCCTGGTCAATAACCTCCAGTACCACCTTCTGGAACACGCTTTTATTGCGGATGCATCCCATGACTTGATGAAATACTTGGGCTGCTACTTAAACATTCAACCCACCAATAAAAGCAATGTGGTGGAGAAATTTGGTCCTCTCCGTGTGTGCAGTCCTCCAAGTAGTTTAAAAATCTACCCGGCCTTAAGATCTGAACTTAAAGCTGATGATTTCCTTAACTGTTCTGACGACCATGCCGTCTTTTCTAAATCCACTCTCTCATGGAAGTACAAGCTTGGACCTCTTCCAAGACCAAGGGGTTCTAATGCTACTGACAACTTCAAGCAGACAGTCATGTCGTCGACGCTGGTGATGTCTACCCTCCCCAGCCCTGGTTTCTATGTTTTTACATGCAGAGCTATCTCTGTATGCAATGAAAAAGAGCTAGTTTCTGAGGTAGACGTGCAGTTTCTTGTTTTGCCCAAGGATGGTGCTACTTGGTTTACCGCTGTAAATCTCTCACCACGCATAGTTCTGATACCACAGTCAGTCTCCGTAGAATGCCCCAGTGTTTTAACTCCTGGCAGTGGTTTGACTGCCAAAAATCTTACCTGGTTCCGCTTTAGCCGTCAAGCTGAACTTACTTCTCCAGGAAATGATCCATCTGCAAGTGTTCTCTCGTACCATGATCTCATTAATGGAACAATAATTACCAATCATCCAAATTTCCTCTCTTATAAGGAGAAAAAGGGGGAAGAAACATTCTTTTCAATGGACATAAAACCAACTTCCTACAATGACTTTGGCTATTATGGTTGCACATTGGGTGCCTTTCATTTGGGCATTGGAATCAATGAGTTTAATTTCGATCAAGTTTCCCCCTACCCAGTGTGTCTTGTTGTCAACACCACATCTCCCAAAATAAAACTGGTTTCTCCTAGTTCCGATAAGTGCTATCGTGTTGGCGATGTGCTTGAGGTCACTTGTGAGGTCATGGCTTATCAAGGTTTTTGTGTGGAAGACGATAAGCCACTGGGAACCCGACTTCTATCCTCTATGGCAACACTCAGCATCACATTTGAGAATAACGAAATCGTTCGAGTTCTAAATGTGTCTTCTAGCATTATCGTCGGGGAAAATCCGCCTAGGATAATGCTCACGTTTACTCCCGTTCTCTTAACTATCTCTCCTGAGCACGATGGAGCGCGATTGACTTGTACTGCAAAACCAAACCTGAACACCCAGAAGTACAACTTTTCAACCGACTGGGACAATTTGCAACCAAAGCTCTTCAGGTACGCTACAGCAAAGCTCTGCGCACTTTATCCTCCGTCAAATGTAATTATTAATCCACCACAATTAAACCAGGTGGACGTGCGCGAAGTTGCTGTGCTCAACTCAGGACAGTGGATAACCTGCCATGCAAACGGGAATCCTTCCCCCATCATAACCATAGACGCTTTTCCGATTGTTGCAGACAATCTCACCAACGTCATTACACAGGAGGTTTCCGACCTCAATGACTGGCGCGATACGATGCGTCCGCAACCGAACTGGGCCACGGAACCGCTGCTGAACGACACAGGTGTTATGATGCTTGTGACGAAAGAACACGGTGCTCCCGAGGGTCTTGCTTATTTGGGCCTTTGCAAAGCTGTAAATGAAATTAATGGAAACAAGGCGATTGTCCACAAGGTAGCGTGCATGCATGATTGCAATCATGCATTAGAACTGGGCTGCCAGGAGCACCTTTAAAAAGATACTGATATTGACATAAAACAACGGTAGCTACTCTCAGACGATAAAAATATTATTGACTTTCACATATAAGTAGGGCTAACAAACTCAAATTTATATGCGAGAAAATCTAGCTCAAAAGAAAATTTGTGTGCATTGGAAGCGAAAACGTTTTCGTAACTTATTGTTCTTTAATGAAACTAAAAATTAGTACCCTACACCAATTTTTGAATCAAAGTGCACACAACCCAATACAATTCCATGTCTGAATGCGCTGCATGTCAATGAGAATTTTATGTCTGTTTTTTTAACCCTATGCTCAATATTGTGATCCAGAAAAGCACCTTGAATGCTACCTCACTTAGTTAGCCTTGTCTGCAATATCCAAGAATGATTTAAATTTACAAATAAAATCCATGGGCAAGTTCACTGTGTCAGGTTCATACAAGTAACTCTGACGCTCTGCAAATCGCCCTTTACTACTCGCTGTAGGCATTTGTCTTCCATCTGCGAGATTCTTCTATTGATATTGTTGAAGATGCTAGTCTTTACCAGTTTGCTGCCGTCACGTTTCTGGTCGCCATCATTACCTTCATTTTGGTAACGTTCGTCCGTGAATTCCTCATCCTCCATCGTCGCAGAATTCGCACAAAGGCTATTCAATAAATGAACTCAAAGAAAATGTGGATCCGTTGTTGCGGCACTGACAGAATGCGTGACACCACTGATATCGAGCATAGAATAAGTTTTACAAAATTTGTTTCCTTGTATAATATTCGCTTTCTCTGATGTCCATGTGTTATGTGTTAGCAGGTCGGTCAGTAAATAAAATGCAAAGTACACATTTTCCCTCTCTCACTTTAGATTTTGCTTATTTGCATAAACATGACAGTGGTTAGTCCACTTTAGTGTATTATTAAACATAAGTCATTTTTGAATAAGTGACCTTCAAGATGTGAGACCACGAGTGCACCACGTCGCTTGTTACGAAAAAATATCCATCAATGGAAGTTTTGGTGTGATCACGAAAGAAATACAAAGTCCATTTACATTGATAAGATTAGGCAACAGTAAAGGCTATTAGGCGAAACAATATTATGCCTAGTGAGACTAGGAGATACTGTAGTCTGCTTTGACGGCATGTAGTTTTGAATGACGCTTGACGTCACACGCCTATCACGCTCACTGGTTTGCGCTCACACCACAGCACTGGTGCAGTCATGTTGCAACCTCTCTACCGTTACAGAACGAAATGCTGCTCTAATGCAGATTCCTGGCAGTACGCTCTGGCATCTAGGACTCTTAACTGCCAATTTTGCGGTTCAGTTGCGGAATTTGCGTCCCTCCCCCATGAAGTACCTCCACCAGTTCAGGACGCTCATGTACCAGTTTCCCCTGGAGCTTGCCCTGTAAGAGTCGCTTTTATAGCGTCTAATCGAGAAATCGGATTTCTTAATTTTGCCATCGGCGATGAGCTACATTGCGGAGTTGTCGACACGGAGGGTTGCGTGACTAGTTACTCGCCCAAAGAAAAGCGTTTTTATCGTGAGAGATCTAGAACATGGAAACAGTCGATTATTTGTGTCCCTCCTGAGGCTCAGCGAGTAGAAGGGGAATTTTGGGATCGTAAAATTCACGAAGGAATACGAAATGGACCAGTAGGACCCCAGTTTGATTGCCTCGACTTCGTCGTTTCTGTGCTCAATCTAACGCTTGGAACGGATGCCTTCAGTCGAGAGAAACTGAGTGAGCTTATGTGCCGCCAATTGTATCACGTGCTGAAATACTCGGAACTGCAAAGATTGGCAATCAGAAACAAAATGATTTAACAAAAGAGGACAAAAGGTTAGCTTAAATGTGGCTCGAATAAACTAATTAAAAAATATCAATCCACATTTACGTATAGAATAAAACGATTTTTACTAAATTTTGATTGATTGATTGGTTTTGTTATCCCCAACAACAAATGTAGAAAAGTATTTCAGTACTGACGCTACTATTTTTGGGCATGTTCTTTTAAAATTTTAATTATGTTTTGTTTACCATAATTTTGGTGTTTTGACCAAGGTACTTGGTATTTAGCCCTCAGTAAAAATTGTTATAGCCCATGTAAGGCAAGTGAGAGTAAACTGTGCAATTAATGCGAATTTTCATAATGTTAAATTACAATATGACAAGATTTATTGGCTTCTCTAGGTAAACATTTAAAAACAGAAGACTACAGCCAAAGCTAAAAAACGTATTTCCAAACCTAACATTGAACGGCACAATCGGGCATTTCCAAGTGTATTTTTCCCTTGTGCGTCATCTGAGGAAGTTATTGACGTAAGAAATATGTTGGCTATTGTGATTCCTGCGTTTTACCGTACAAAAACTTACCAATTAATCTATCAGATGCTGATGAAGCGGCGGTCAAAGGATTCTCCGTACTAATCGATTTGTGCGCACCACAATTGTGTAATTAAGTCATTAGTTACCTCATCTTTTTCCTCCATAATTTCATTCGAGACGACACCTTAAGATCGAAATAAACAGAACAGCAAGACTAACCAGTAATACGGGGAACCAGGTGGGCGAAGGAATATCGTAGCTAGAGCTAGACTACGATATTCCTTCGCCCAGTGAATCTTACGCTGTTCATTTTATCATTTTTAGGCATATTAATACGGATTAAATTAAATTAATTCCGGAAGGTTTGTTTTTATGAATGTAGCATTAGAAGTAGTCATCTATCTATTATCTTCAAGCTAGCCAGATAGTCGGAGGGTACTGTAAGGCTGCCAACTGCTTGGGTTAACTTGCCTCGAGTTTGTGACCGAACTTTTTCAGTGGAGAATTTCAAACAGCAGAATCATCAAAATTTCAAATGATGAAAGACCTTCCTGATTTGGGACGTTTTGCGACAGCAAAATTAGAACCGAAATTTGCGTTCGCAAATCTTGGCACGAAACCAAAGCCTTCACACGCGCATCTTTCTCTTGTGAGCGTGTTGATCTATATGAAATGTTCCTGTCAGATAGGATCACTACCACGCCTAATCCTCTGGAAGACTTGGCGAAACCTAGTGCGGTAGATCATTTCGTGCCTGATTATAGGACATGGCTACTCCTTTACATACGGGAAGTCTCGTTTCACTCAGAGTGACTACGTAGTATGAATCAACGACCGAGGTCAAGCTTGGTCTCTCGTAAAAATTATTTTTGGCAGTCAGTGCTAAATATTTATCGGTAAAATAAGGAATCAAATGCTTTACTTTTACGGTTTGCGTTGAAGCCATCGAAGGTAACTGGGGCTCGGATCAATTTCTCGTGTCTTTTTTTCCTTTAAGTAATATTCCTACTTAATTTGCATTTTGATTTTTTCCAAAGCCCGGTCTAGCAATAATCCGGGAGATACTTACACACTGCCTAAACTCCAATGCCGATGTGTTCACCTCCACTTTATTCCAGCTTTACGGACTTCTCAAGGCGGTAAAATACAAACGCAGGCCAATAAAGTGAAAATTGTCGATGTTTCAAGTACTTATAAGTAATAGTGAAATGTATTCCAGACCTAAGTGAGCCACCACCTCCAGGTTCTTAGACTAAAATACTTGGCCTTGTGATTTTAAGTTGCATTTCCGGAGGTTTTGACTAAGCCATAAATGGATTACTGCAAACGGCTACAATGAAGTTTTCGAAAGTGTGGCTGGTAACCACAAAACGATTTAAAAGTCTCGAGTTTCATTTCATCACTTTTCCTTAGTAATAAAGAATAGGCAATTGTATTTCTCCAAAGTAGTTCAGACACGTGCACCATCACTCGTTCTTGCAAAAAGCCGCAAGCATGTGTCTTATCAAGTAATTCATAGTGGCTTCCAATGTGCCTCACAGAATTAGTTAAGTAACCCACACCCAGATCTTGGAAGTGCATCCTCCATCGTCCGCATCTACGGTCGAAGGCGATTCCCAGACAAAGGACTTTAGACACCTCAATTTGGTGTCTAGTAATAGTTTTGATGATACTCGCGTTGTTTCATAGTCACTTCATCAGTAAATGAGATGAAAATGACTGGTCGTACTTCTTCCAAACGAATCAAAGTCAAAAATCAATATATGAAGGGCGACGCCCTCTCATTAATTAAAGGTTGTGATCATCGATGCGTTAGAGAACCTCGGCTTCACAATGAGGCAGTGCTCCAACGACCGTCAAACTAGACAGATTCGGTAAACGGTAACACAATACTGCGTCCACTCTAAATTATAATCGTATGGTAATGCTAACCGGACAGAAATATACCATACTGGCAAGACGAAAGCTTCATGCAGTCGAATAGGAGGATGAAACCTGGTATACGCTAGAAACCCAAAAACGCTTGCTGAAATCCTCTAAGCCATGCTTTCGTTTACTGAGCCAGGTCCCTGAATTATGCACACACTCCATGCCTTTTCAGCATACGCCTAACTGCAAGATGGAAACATCCCCAGTCAAAACATAGGTAGTACTTGCTAACTGTGACACGACTGATGTACACGAGTCACCTTCAAGTTGAATGCCTCGGTACAGTCTACATCACTAAACAGGTGGATGATTAAAGCTATTTAGGCATAGCCTGTACATTGCTATTAAAATCTTGCCTTCAATAATAGACGAAACCAATTTGAACCATGTACTGAAAACCTCGGTTCCATAATTATGATGTACCTGGGAAAGTACCCAGTGTTCAGGCGTGGATGACAGAGTTGGAGTGTTATCAGGATTGTGCATAACTTGATGTCGGCTATTACTATACATTAATTGGACAGTATAAAACCTCGCCTCTTATTATAGTTTTGGGTGTCAAACTAACGAGGTTATACCGATTTCAACAGAGGTTGTGGTCATGGACACAGTTTATTGACCATGACTTTATTTTGTCAGTGGACATTCATTTTGCAACAGTCTCACCTACCACAACACGCCCAATGAGAAAATACGCATTTCATTTCCACCAACGCTGCTATAAACAAAATTCAGCAAATGGGAGCACAACTGCTTTATTTGTGTTTATAAAGTCAGCAGGGTTACGCGATCGATAATTTAGTATGAACCTAATGGAATCTTTCCAAAACCACCTATCACTGTCGTTTTAGGGCATGTTTGGCAAAAGGGCTAACGATGATGCAAGACTACAAATATTGCGTGAGTATGAGTGAGAAAACAGTCATGTGACTTTGTGACATGGGCTTTCATCAACGCGGGGATGATGCAATGCGGCACCATCGAAATGTTAACGCATAGACAGGCAGGTAAAACATTTGGAGGAAAGAGCGGTGACCTGGAAAGGCCAAAAGCCTGTACTAAACAGCGCGGCAGACAAGAAGACGTGATGGGGAGGGCAGATCACATGACCGTCTCAAATTTAGCAATGACCAGCATGACAGCGACCCCGATGAGCATACCCATGTTTTGCCAAAGGAACAAAACGCTGGGGGAGTGGCAACGGCGGTGACCACCCAACCGATTTGTTGTCAGTTCTGGCATCTAAAATGAGGCAAAAGAACATACAGAAACGGCACAAGTATACTATGAAGCACTAGCAGAAAAGTAATTGTGACTCCGGAATCTGCAGATTTACATTAGCTCTGGCACAATACGCCAGAAAATCATTACCATCTAACAAACTCATAAATCTTATAATGCTCCAAAACGAAATTAACTGAATAACAGCAATATCAACTAAAGCACAAGCATAATGTTGCGAATGTACTTTTATGGGAGCGGCATGGATAATACCCCCAACCTAGATTCAAACACACACACACACAGGGTGATCGTGTACCATTTTTAAAAAAATGGCTACCAGGCAGCAACAAAACGAGCTACACTAATTAGTAGGAAAAGGGATAAAACTCGCTTCATCCATCAGCAGCAGCTAACCGAATTTAACCAACCTGCCAAGTCAGCCAATGTGGAGCAACTATGAAGCGGATGAGCAACCGTACTTGACGAGGTAAAACCGTTATAAAGTATTTCATTTCACAATGAAATCACTTGATCTTTAGACAAAGTACCACAAGCCAAAAGTAAATAATAGTCCTCTTAAAATCTGTCAGCAAGGTTCGTTATGCCGCCTTTTAATGGCTTTGCTGAAGCTCTAAATATCACTTCAGACAGTGCTAACGGTCTTCCACGTAGGCTTCTAAACAAGAATCATCGTTACTGTTGGCAAGCCTGTTACGGGGATAGTAAAATTGAGCCAGTTTGGTCAATAGAAAGATTGAGGTTGGTCAGAAAAGTTGAAAAAAATACTGTGGGCATGAGCGCAAGGAAGTAGGTGAGGCGAGTAAGTCGACTGACCATGTCAACAAGGGCGATGTAGACAAACATGCCAGCGGTGATGAGAAAGAGCCAGAGGTTGACCGAGGGTAGAGAGCCCAGAAGAACACCCAGCACCATGCCTGCTGTGCAGAGGATGCTCGATAGGGCGTTGTAGAATAGTGCTGCCTTAACGGACATCCCCGCATGCAGCAATACGGCAAAGTCACCTAAAAGGAAATGAAAATAGATGTGGTATGTGTCAACATGGGCGAATTTAAGTACTTTGAACTCGATAAGAGGCATTTGGAACTTGATGCTGAAGTCAAAAGTCCTCAATAACACGAGAGGTTTAGAACATGCAAGACCGAAGTGGCATTTGGTAGCATGACATTAAGCTCTTAATTCAAATCGCTATTTGGGGAATTCAGTGAAGACGTTGGTACTAATTTGCCCTTAATTAGAGACTTCCACATCGAAGGTGAAAGTAAGTCATACGGTAGAATAGTGGGGACCATAGTGCACCGGATGAAGGACAGGAGGCGGATGACGGACTTAGAGCCACCAAGGAAATAGTGCAAAAAGATTCGGGAAGAACGCTGAGGAATTGATCGATGGCCGTCTAGTAAGGGTAGACGACGACACACTTGCATCGAACAGGTCTGATCGACCGAATTCGCCTCAATGTTCAAAATGAAATGATCAAACAGAGATCGATGTTTAAATATTCACCTCTTATGAATACGGGGTATTTAAATGTGTGAAGATGAAAGGGGTAGAATCACTGTGTGCGTGTGTGTGTTATAAGAATGATCAGTCGTTGTGACGAATGAGGAACAATGTGATAAGGGGTGAAATTGAAGTGGCAAAGTGAATCTAATGATCAGATAATTGTCGCCTCATTATCCGTGAGGGCATGGTCGTTGCAACCGAAGGATCTAACCTACAATAACATGCTATGCCATTCGGTATCAGTCGTGTCATGGGATAAAAAGGTGATAATTGTTGTGGAAAAGTGACAATTAGTAAAAACTCCATTGAAAGTTGTCCAGCTGCATCGAATAGATCGCCCTGTTGCTCCGTATTGGAATCCGTTCAAAAGGAAAGGCAGTTAATCAGAATGGAGGAAGCTATTAAACAAAATGTCTAGAATTGGCACATTTCAAAGCACCCGTACCCTACCTAGACAATGCATTAAGCACCATTAGTAGCCCGTTCGAGGTAATCGATACTTGGCTGCGAATCGTTCCACGAGTGACGCATCATGAGGCTGCCAGAACAATGGCCGTCATTAGACAAAGCGGAAAGTACATAACTGACTAACGCTAAGTCCCTGTACATAAAAAATGAGTTTTACCTTGAAGTATTAAATCGAAATTAACACCCTTGCTCCGCAACCACCTGTAATTGTTTGATGACGTGAGTTTACCCAGACAATGGAACTCAAGTTACAGTAAACAATGCGTCAGTTATTGGCTTTGTGATATTGGAAACAAAAAAAATGAGCAAAAAAAAACAATCAGATGCGCGTCATTATGCATTATACATCGTGATAATATTTATTACTCAAAGAAGTTACTTCCCAAATAAGATATCCAAAAAGTACTGTACCAACAACACACCCCATCACAGCAACCACAACTCTCCATGGCGTCGAGCCCCAAGGTCGAGTCTGTACCATGTCAGGTTAAATAAGTCCCTGTAGAATACTGAAAACTGGGAATTGATTGTCATTTTCCGACCTTTCAGCGCTCCTACAAACCATTTGTGGAGCGGAACTTTTCCCAATACTACACCTCACAGTTACCGCGGCACGGTGGACGGCTGGATACCTGCACCGTAATCGTTGCCAGAGGGCTTTACGTAATTAAACTCACCAAGCTCGTGAGGTAGTTCGTGGCATAGAACTGCCAGCGCAGTGGACAAGCCACCCTGAAGACTCTCCGAGAAGGAGGCACCGATGGCAATGCCATCACAAAAATTATGCAGCCCATCACCGGCGATGATGGTCCAGGCGATGGCTCTCACTGAGCTGAGGTCGTGGCTGTGTCCGTGGTGGTGGCCGTGAGGCTTTTTCAGGTGAGGTAGAGGACGAAGAAAGTGGTGGCCGTGATGATGGTGGTGGTGGCCATGTCCGTGCGCGTGCACGTGATGCCGGTGACTGTGACCCTCGTGACTACTCCTGGCTTTCACCAACGCCTAAAATAACAAACAGCTAATAGAGCACTTTTAACATGTTTTGCAGTTTCAGCCAAAACATTTCACTCAGGAACACTTAATTGGCTATACATGGGTCGAATATTCACGCCGTTTATGCTCAAAAGGCTTACGTTCGTCATACGGTGGGCTTCACTTCCAGTAAAGTCCAATAAGGGAGGCTACAGGGCCCACAAACGTGTGTCGACTGTCTTAGAAAAAAGCCAGGCTCGAGGGAGGCAGAATGTGAAAAAAGTAACAAAAATTACATGGTAGGGACTCAACAGGGCATTAGTTCTGGGCCTAACAACAGATTCTAGGGTGAAGAGTACTCGTTACACCTGCTTGAACTATGGCTGAGTTGGCAAGTTGTGAAAAACATGCCAGATCGTTAGATGAAGCTCCTCCATTACAAGATGAGGGGAGGCCGAAGCACATCTTGTTCAGAGTGAAGTGGTACTTGAGATAAGGCGCCTATTTTAGCTAAAAAAAGTCCACAAAAAATCTACAAGTAGTCTAAAATTGTTTCACCATGAATGTATTTTCATATCACTCACTAACGTTAGGGCATTTCACCCTGGAGGCAACCCGGAATCGACGCTAAACACGAGAGCCCGATTTGGGATCTGTATTCCAAAGGAATGGCTAAGGCTTAGCTGCGGAAGAGCTAAGCGGCATGGTCGGAACATAAAATGCGGACATATTTACGCACCTGGCAAAATATCAAGCGCTTATCACAGTTGCATTACGCAGAAAATTCAAATAGGTTGCGCAGCTCCAGAAACCACAAATCTAATCGGGCTATGTAAAATCGCACGAGCCCACACATCTGTGGCCCATAAGTGACAATCTGAGACAAAAACTTACTCGGTACGTGTCCGAATAATGTACGATGTTTTCGAGAGCAATGTGCATGTGCAGATGTGCACAAAAACGCTGTTGACCCTACCGTATTTGCGTTTTAATTCACGATTAAAACATGCTCACGCACACACACCAGGCATAACAGTGATTGAGGTCACTCGCTGAAATGCGAGTGTTTCATCCAGGACAAGTTGGACCACAATAGGTATCATTGGTTAGCCAAAAATGCCAGAGAGAGGTGAAATTCATTAAGCTGAAGATATGCACTTGACACGCGTTATTTTCATCACCCAGCATTGCTTCGCGCTTCTAACTGAGCACATTACCGGTATCCAGCGGTTGAAAAACTAAAAACATTAACAGCTTATCACTCAACAGATTAGTCCCAAATTTACACACTCCTATCACTGTGTGTTTTAGTACACTTGGATAAACAAGCGGAGGGCCTTAAAACTTGTTCCATAATTTTCTCCTTTGATATGAATGGGACGATTAATTGAACTTTGTTAGGTTCTTTTTCCATTAGCTAAGACTGAAGAGAGGTGAGTCAGAATGGCAGCGCGAAAATCTTAAAGTGGCAAACTCCACATACGGAATTAACACGAATAGGTTTCAGGAGAAATTCGGCTCGACCTTGAAGAACTTCGTTTTGGTGCCAACTAACCTTCTCCGAATCATCGCCGCTGGTCTTTTTACTAGAAGGGTCACCTGCACCCTCGCCAAGGGTCCAAGAGACAGCTCTGTTAGGAACGCCGCCGAGGTCTGGCAGTAACGCCAGCTCGCCGGGCGCTGCATCAGCCCGGCCGCTATCGTCGAAACATTGCAAGTCACTGACACTGACTATCAGTGATGTTGTACCGGTTTTGCCTGAGAGGTAAATAAATTGCATTAACGCAACCGCAGCACTGGGAGTGCACTGGTCATTCGTGTTATCTGGACTATGTGCTGAGGGTTTATGGCTAGGGCACAGCTGATACAAAATGACGACATCGCCATCCCCCTACAGAAACCTTCCCCGATCTATTAGCGAAAAATTGGATTCGGCTGACATCGGCCCTATTTTTCAGGTGATATACACAATGACCCAGGATCACATTGCAATCTTGGGTTCTCTGGGCTTCTCCCCATAGATAATGGTCAAGTTGCAATTTTAGCTGACGGCAGGTAGAGATAAAAAAATGTGGAGAATTTGGACTAAGAACGGTAGCTTCAGCAGGTGTCGTAAGGTGAATGCTAAGGGCCTGATTAGTGGATTCCACAAACAGGCAATTTCTAAAACCAAATCCTGCCACATAGGCAGAGAGGTATGCTAATAAATAATCCTGAAACGCGTCTGTGGCAGCCAGACAGGTATGCATACTAACGCGAGTGAATATCATCTAGTTATGGCACAACGGCAAAATTTTACCCAAATAATTTGTATAACACTCAAAGCACTAGTATTCACTAAATCACATATACACAGATCCTCAAGAATGTCTATACACGCCGAAGAGCAACAATGAGGTGCCTACCGCTGAGAAAGTCTGAACAGCGGGCATTGTCTAGTGGCCTGGAGGGCGGGCGGTTGCACAGTTGCCCTGTTCTAGACGCTTTCGTCTAAAAGGCAAAAGTTGAGAAAGGACGCGTTGAGTCTGTGGTCGCCTTCTGGCTCAAGGCTTGATTTTCAGACCTGCGTAGAGGAAGGGCTCGGCCTTATCAGGTCAGACTTCGGTACAATGACGAGAATACGTCTAAAAGTTTTTGAGTGGCGTTTGTATGGCGCTGCATGCATTCTAGCGGAATTGTTACAAACACAATTACTGTGAACAATTTCGCAGAATAATGAACACAACATTAAAGGCTAACTTGAATGAAAATTGAGCAGGCTAGACGTTGTGCAGACAAATGGAAAAACCTGAAGTGAGCGTGTGATGTTGCACTCTTCCGCAACCCAAAATATCGCTGCCCTCGTGAAAATGACTGGATGCAGTTTGTAATTTCTGAAACGGCCTTACATCACTTTCATAACCAAATCCCGTCCCAGGTTGTTGGGGGACACAGGCGATTCAAATAAGCACACACGCACACACACACACGAGGGCCACATGAGGATCGAAGCGTAAGTTTCAGAGCCGTCTACTTGAACCACAGTGATTAAAGTAGATTAAGTGCATAGAAATCACAAAAGGCAGAAGACGATGATTGGTTTACAACGTAAAATCAATATCAGTGAGGAAAAATTAGGCAAAATTTAATTTTAAGTGGTTTCATTGTGTTGGATCGTACCAAAGGTGGTCAGACGACCACCATAGAAAGCATGATCCGACTGAAGAATGAACGCTGCTTAGCAGAAAAAAACGCTCGAATGCCCAATAGAGTAATTTGAACACCTAGTGTGTGCTATTAGAGCTACATTAACAATGCGAATAAGAGCATCATTACGCCTCTTAAAATAATTCCATGAAGGCACAGAACAATAGCGCACAGACTAGCAAAACCAACGTTTCTGTGGAAACCCGCGAAAACCCGTGAACAGTGGTGACGAATAAGTAGGCAATAAACTAAGAGGCGACGGAGACCAGTCGGGATTTATAGCAGTTAATGAAAACAACGGCACAGTGGCAGCTTTTACCATGTCACTTTCGATCTCCTCGCCACCCAGGCGGTTAGCGCAGCTGCCTCGGGCGGATCCGCACTGGGCTGAGTGCACCATGGTCTGGGTGCAGCGCGCTGACTCACTTGACTGGTTTGTCTGAGAGCCACCGTTCGCCATCGGGGCAGTTAGTGAGGATGCACAGGCTTCTTCGCTTGATGCTTTGAGCTGGTTAGAAGCTAGTTTCTAAAGGGAAAATTAATGCAGCAAATAATGCCCATGTCAGTCGAAATTCATGTACTTTGAAAAGCACCGCTTGATGAGAAAACCATCATGGTGCAAGTTACGCACTATTGAATTACTGAGGGCGATTCCTTAATTCTTAATATTAGCACAACACGGTTCTAATTACGTCAATATCTCAAAAACGTCGTATTTGAGTTTTCAGTGAAACATCCAACATTAAGTGCTTTGATTCCCAGTACATCTAGTTGACATGTGCTCAGGGAATTTCGCGAACTTTCCTTGTTTCGATTATTTGATTTCTGCTTAACCTTCACGACACGTTGCTACACAAAACGGCAAGCGGCTGTAGCTGGATAAACGTCGAGCGTTTTTCTGATTGCGTTGCGTCTACGCAGGCTGTTGGTCTCGACGTGGGCTTGAGTACTATGTCGGAGAATCACAATGTAGTGCCTCAATCGTGCCCTCAAGTAGATCCAAAAAAAAACGCATACCGAATGTGTTCCCACGAGGTATCAGCTATTCAATACTCTTCAGTGTATTTCCGTGAGACGGCTTTCGAAATTACCAGGACTTTTGTCGTATGATGTTTACACACGAAACGCTCGATTTACGTTATATTACCACGTGCTCCTGAACAAAAATGTTAGAAATGTATGTTCAGGTCATAGGATGACATTGGTGCCGAGAAAAGTTAGACGCGACTGATTCAATATTCACATTTCAATCTGTTGGAATTTGAGACTTGAAAATGAGAGTATTCGTGTTACATAAATTTGTAGACCAACAACACACATCATTAGTACCAACGACCAAGTTTTCTACATACCCACAGATTCACACTACTGAATGATAATCATACCGAAACTGCCTCCTAATAGTTACAACATGAAAGTGAGAATTGAGAATATCTTACGATCATAGCACAGAGGGTGTGTAATAGAACTGAAATTCAGAAAAAAACAGTGGTAACTGCTACATCAGGATTTTGAAACGAAAAATACAGCGACGATAAGCAAGCACACTCGATTTCCCGCATGATTTTTCAGTTTTGAATGTGATTTGTCGGTCAAAGATGCATGAACAAGAGCGCGTTTATGAGTGGTTCAAACATTTTTATTTAAAATGAATCAAAACATCTTAACGTGGAATAACAACTATGCATGATCAATTGGCGATAACTGTACGACTGAAAGACTGTGATAATAGAATGCGATTCAAAAAAATTACTTACATAGTTGCGTCTCAGCTTGCGCTTGGAAGCGCTGTTCTGACAGAGGATGGTAAGACGCTCTGTTATGAAGAATCCATAGATGCCTATTAGGATAATCATCGACTTCCAAACGAAAGCGTCATGTTCGCTCATTTCATCGCTATGTTCATGGGAGTGTGAGTGTGAGTGTCCATGAGATAGAAGGGCCTGGGAAAAAGCAGAGTAGGGCAATCCGTGAAGGAATGATACATTAATGTGAATACAACGGGAAGGACACAATACGGTCGAATATTCGCTATTTCAATTCCTAACACGACGGTGTCCGGCTTCGCTGCACAAGCTGTGCAGCATTTCTACACATAAATAAGGCTATCAGAAAAATAGTTTGGTAATAAAGTAAAGACAGTCAAAAAAATAATGTGAGTGCGTGGACGCTATTTACAGTTATATTCATTAATTCATTGATTACAATTGGGATAAAAAAACCTAGACTTCGAGCGTATCCAGTTGTAAAGCCTTGATTAAACGGAAATCACATTAATTCACCCTTTTAGGCTAAATCGACAGAAAACGCAATTTGTATTACACCGATTTTCGAAGCTCTACCAGGGAGATGAACTATTTTAATAGTCTACTTTTAATGAATCTGCTCAATAATTATAAAAGACCTCGATGGATTCAACATAGAAGCAACGAAAATTGGTTCAATATAGCATGCCAAAATACAAGTACTACCCATACACCACCGATATCATCAGAGCTAGCTATAAAAAAATTAACCATGAAGGATATTGGTAATAACGCGAAAAGCACAAATGTTGGTGTCACGCAAAACCTCTGAAACTAGCCGAACCGTCAAAACTGGCGAATGTTGCCACATTTTTTTTGCCATTGGTGCATGCATTTATAAACGGCCGATTAGCAATTAATACGCGACTTACGTGAGGAATCAGGTGTAAAAAGGCATCTCCGATTAAGGAACCGACAGACAACGCAATGAGAAATTGGGTAACAACATTGTAGATCCTTCGTGACATCAGCGGGACGAGTGCAACGACGATTAGCCCCGACAAACTTATAACAAGTACAGCACAAATACTTGCGCTCCAAACTATTGATAATAGAGGAGGGTAAATTATCTTGTAAGATAATGGGGCGTGCAAAATAAAAGCCGAATCAGTTGAGGAAAAACAAAGGCGAAGCGTACACACACGGTTAGATAGTAAAGTAACTGATAAGGCGTTAGCAATTTAGGCACTTAGACGTACATGTTCTTCTGTAAATAAGAATCACATACGGCAAAAACATAAATCACATAAAGTCAAGTAAAGACAAATTAGAACGTAGATAGCTGAAACTCATGCAAAACGACCCAAGACACTATCGAAAAGCAAAGGGTTAGTTTAGGTGACGAGACACGCCTTAATTTAGACCTATAACTTTATTGCGTGGGGCTGTAATCTCACAGAAATCATCCCACATGTAAATTAACTTCCCAAAGAGGCTATTATCTGAGAATAAAATGCAGATTGTAATGGGATTTTCCAAAAATGTGTAAAGACAACGTTATGTGAATGGATTTAATCAGTGCGATCGTGTCTTGCGCAAGAAACACCTCCTGTTTGAAACCGCCATATAATTAAATTTCCCCGAAGGTGAAATGAAACAGTCACTACTTCATTGGAATGAACGTGAAAACAATTTGGACTGCTTATAATTGTTCTATGTTCAAATATATGAGACTACAACAGCTTTAGACTGACAACCACCTATTGATACAAATAAATTTTGTACAAAAAGGTAGCGAGTAAATGCAGAAGATAAAATATCAATAAGGTTCTTTGTCACTAAATAAACAAGATATCTTAGTCTTGTAGAATGCTCTTCAAAATCAATTCTGCACTAGCATAACAGAGCAAAATCATCTTGCATGAGTTCCACACTAACTAGCAATATTGGAGTGTGAATGGCATACCTCTCCAGTCGAGACGTGGAAGCATGTCAATGCTTACTTCTTTGGTGTGCGAATGAACATGCATTTCAGAGTTGTCACAGTGAACAAGATCACAAACGACAGCAGGCAGAATCCTTTGGAACCCATCAATTTTTAAGGAACTGTTTGTTTTAATTTTGGCTGCAGAACACTAAGAGAGTAAAAAGGCACACATAAAAACACACTTGATAAAATTATGGCCTGACCCTTTTAACTTACTTGTGTCTTCGGCTCGCGAATGTTTGAAAGGAACTTGTCAAAGCTTTCTACAGAAATCGTTCCATTTAGAGAGTACATGGAAAAGAGTTTCTGAAGATGGGAATCATGAATTGATGTGTGATTATGTGAAGTTGTTGAGGGCTCATTCGAACATTTGGCGAAAACAATTGCCAGGTATAATATAAATTGTAGACTTAAAAAAGGTGAATAATGACCACACGCGAAACCAGAAACCATTAGGAAAAACCAACAGGAATAACAAGCGACGAGCAAGCTGCGAGACTTCACACGATTTCCATATACCTATCTCATTCACCAATAAAAATTACCGACCAATTAGAATTCTCCTTCGGACCATTGTGACGTAACTTAACAATTGGCATTTCAATCAGAAGTTACAAATGCGGAGGACTAAATTCTTCACTACAAACGCAAACAAATAGCATTAGTATTTACTTTATATTTTGCAATCTTTATTAATTCATCTAAAACGAAAAGCAAGTGTTGTATTAAACTGAAAAAATGATAGCCCTATTTTATCCATTTGAACGTCTAAAATTAGCATCGTTTTGAGTTTTATAATCATAATTCCATGTCATTATTGAAGTATGCTTTGTTAATCGCATATTATGTCTTGATATCAATCATCTTTGTTGACATACACAATATATTTCATAGTGGTATTACTGTGACTGTTTAGTTGAATATAATTTATGGAAATCCCACTTATATAACCTAGCTTATAAGTAGAGAATTTTCTCACATTAGGTAGAGAGACTGTTTCGTTTATTTATTTTAACAATTTCTATGAAAAGATTCATATCCTTTTAGTCATTTTTTAACAATAAAATTTACCAATGTTATCATGCTGCTACTACGGTGTTCACTTAATAGGTGACAGTTTAGAATACTCCGGCCCTAGTGTGAAGAATACTGGTACAGCCGACAAGTCCTTTGCGACTAATTACAAGCCAGAACAAAACGTCAGGCGCCGTCCATCCGAGTCCACCACGCTGGCCACGCCGATCATTATATACTGTTCCTCATTTGTGTCCTTCTTTGTTGGCTGCCTATCTTCCTCTCATGCCATTGGAACGCAGACAGACAGCGGATTGACTGAGGACAGTGTGGTCCAAATATGTATGCGCCCTTATACGTCGCAACTGTTGCATCAGCCAATCCCGTCTCTCTGTGCGCTCCAATGGCATTCGAGGAAGGTAAGCAGCCAGCCACGGAAAGACACGAATGAGGTGCAGTATTTAATGGGCGGCGTGAATAAAAGGCGGACTCGGATGGAAGGCGCCTGACGTGTGGCTCTGGCTTGTGATTGGTCAATAAAGCCTGTTCTGTTGTGCCAGTCTTATTCCTATTAGGGCTCCCGTATTCTACATTGGTGGCAGTGGATGCGTTCGAATAACGCAAATCGAACCCCAGCCCTTTCTCTTCTATGGTCAACAGAGGCGAAGACCCCTGAATGCCAGCTGAAATTGTCATGGCGGTCATCCGATGTCCAATAAACTGGATTCATAGACATTGACCGGGATTAGGACTAATGCGTCTGAAGAGGCATTGGCAACTCAGCGACGACGACTTAGACAGTGAAAGCCAGCTGGACTGCATCTGCGAAGGACCTTCAATGGATGATGAGTCTTTCCTGCAAGTCTACAAGAGCAAAGTCCCTCGTCAACTATTCGCACGGGCCACTATCCTGCCAGATGTGGGGTGCGGGGAGTGTCGAACTGGATATTTTACCAACACTGGAAATCAACAACAGTGCAAGTAACAGAGCCAGAAGCTGAGGACAGCTTCACTCCTTAGGGGGAGGCAGTGTGGCGTCGGATTAGGGCGCAGACATGTTGGACCATCTGGCCTCAGCCAATCCTGTGCAGCCAAAGGAAGGCAGCCAACCAGAGAAGGACATGGATGAGATGCAGTATATAATGAGCGGCGTGGCCAACGTGGTGGACTCGGATGGAAGGCGCCTGACGCGGGGCTCTGGCTTCTGATTTGTCAATAAAGCCTGTTCTGTTGTACCGGTCTTTTACCTATTAGGGCTCGCGTATTCTACAGTGGCGTCGGAATAGGGCGCAGACATTTTGGACCACCTGGCTTCAGCCAATCCTGTGCCCCTGCGTTCCAATGGCATGCGAGGATGATAGGCAGCCAACCAGAGAAAGACACGAGTGAGGAGCAGTATATAATGATCGGCGTGGCCAGCGTTGTGGACTCGGATGGAAGGCGCCTGACATGTGGCTCTGGCTTGTGATTTGTCAATAAAGCCTGTTCTGTCATACCAGTCTTATTTATACTTGGGCTCGTGTATTCTACACGACATATTATCTGTGATTTTTGATCAGCTGCATATCCCTAGGCTTGAACCTAGTCTTTTTTGTTGGGCCTTTAGACAACGTTCAAGAGACCGATTAAATATTTTGTTTAGTGCACATAGGCTTTTTATGGTAATCTAATATCCCATTAATCTGAGTCACAAATCAAGTTTCAGAGTTAAGATATATGTATCTTCAACTCTATAAATATTGACTGCTCATTACTTTTCAAATATACAGGCCATTAATTTGCAGAAAAAGTGAGCACACATACTGTCACCCCACCTCTCCTTTCTACTCGTCTAGATCTGCCAATTCCTAGGCTCTCTACCAATTCCATAACACCTGCTCATCTATTATCGTTTTTCTTTCCGTCGTATTTGGATATTCGCTTAATTGTTACGTATAACACACGGCTCTGGTTCATGGTTTTTCCTTCCATCTGACTAAAACCTGATATGTTGGCACAAATCACCATCTACCGTTTTATAAATCAACGCCCAGTTCTCACGTTCGAATATTTTATCTTCCGTGGACCAAGCTGACAAAACAAATACAATGACAAAGTGAAATATAGTTGGACCCCGCTTTATCTTTCAGCAACAAACTGTTTTAACCTCATCATTACAATGAAATTCTGGGATTGTGGTGTAGCGTCAATAGACTGATTTACTATTCACGGAGAATCACTAAGGCGATAACTCCAACCAAGCTTCCGGAAAATTACTGAACGAATTATATGCTATTCTAAGTGTTCAGCAGAGGTCAATGAATTATTCAGCAATTTGGTTTTTTTAAATAATACTTAAGCCAAGCATTTAAATCATCCACATAAAAATTACTCCAAAATGTCAGATCTAGACTGGAGCTATTACCGAACATGTCTCTTTGTCGTGCGCATAGCAAAATGAGTCCCCGATTTTTCATTCTACAAATAAACGCAGAAAATAACACGTGAACGATGCCATGTGGTTAGTTAACATTAAATAAGAAATTTATAATGGTAAAAAATGGGTAAGATCTTGAAAGCTCTTCAATGGTGAAGGAGTAAACTAAGACGTCAATTACGGCTGCAACTAGATTCACAGCCTTATCCACGGCTATAGTTCCCTTAAAAGCATTTGATCAATCGAACCAGAGCCCAATTCTAAGTAATGTTAAACTCTATGGGAAGGAAAACGCACTTGTTGTTACCTCCGATTTGTTAACACGATCAACCTGCCAACCGAAATCCGTCCTGGCAAGGACGGCATATCACAAATCGGGCAAGCGCACTGGTTTGCCATAGGTTTAGAAATTACCAAGCAACCATCTGAGAAGACAGACAACTAGAAGCATTAATCAACTCTAGGGACATACGACATAGGTATCAAACCTAACACCTAGGAGTCATATGGGATAAGTGTAATAGTTAAAAATGGTGAAGCTCTCAGGACCCTTTAAATTAGAAAATGACAGTATTGTATGGATGAAAACTGCCTCTTTTCGATTCATTTACATAGTAGAAATCCACAAAACACCGGTTTGGGACTAAGGTCAATGTGATCCCACTAAAATGTGAGGAGTTGATCATGGGACTGCACCACGTGTCAATGTACGCGACGGGCTTTAATAAAAGGCTCGTCTATCCGCCAAACTAAGCGGCATCAAGAATCATCATTGAAAGCGGATTACGAAACGATGCTCAATTTACCAGCTTATTGCCTTCTACAGCTGACACGCATGAACTCGGGCACTTCCACGACTGCACGGCTGCATCTAACTCAAGGCTCTGGCTTTATCAAGACGAAATTTTTCAAACATAGTGAAAATTTCAAGTAGGTGCAAGTTTAGGTTATTTTCTCCTTAGGCACAGTCGATATATTCAAAAAGAATCGAGGGCAGTTTGGATGCCGAATCAGTTCTTTATTTATTACAATGTAGCATATTATAAGAAGTTACAAAATATGTAATAGTGAATATAAAAAAAATACACTAAAACTTAGGCGTCAGATATTGTTGTGTAATGAGGGACATCGGGGTAGTTAATTAGACCGATAAATGTACGAAAGGTTTAACCAGTGGTAGGAAGGAGCGCACAAGGGCTCTAACTGTAGTCGCAACTAGATTCATTCGATGTTGACTAAGATTAGTGGCCCGTGCCTCATTTTCTACAACACAAGCATTGAATCAAATGATTTGCTTCAGAAAGCAAAAAAGGTTCCAGGGAATCTCACTAGCATTTAGTTTGCACTAATTTTACTGCTTGAAGAGCTTGCTGGATGTAAGTGCTTTTTAACTGTGGTCTGAGTTTAAGAAAAAAATGACTTCATTTAAAGAAAAAATATTACCCCAATAAATATTGCGAGTAGAGTCTTACGTTCCACACACTTGCTACCAAATGCCATATTGAAAAAAAATTATCATTAAAGCTTGATTTATTAAAAATAATCAAAGGGAATCTTGACTAAACTCGTGCCAGTATCCTGGTAATCCGCTGGACGAAAACATAATTGGTCTTCACGCTTGAATTTACCACGAATTAACACCAAACAAAGCCTATTTCGAAAGTTATTTCAGTTGGATACACATATTTGAAAGCAAACGGTATTTACGTGTAACGAAAATAAGGGAATGAAGTTCGTTACGAGAAAATCACCGCGATAAAAAGTACGCGACTTAGCTCAAGATTACATAAGTATTCCATAAGATAGTCACGGAGTGGGAATGGCTACGATTACTTCATCGCACAATAAAAAACAGCGAACAAAA